GCAGGCAGAGAGAGAGAGAGAGAGAGAGGGAAGCAGGCTCCCCGCTGAGCAGAGAGCCCAATGCGGGACTCGATCCCAGGACCCTGAGATCATGACCTGAGCCGAAGGCAGTGGCTTAACCCACTGAGCCACCCAGGTGCCCCCAGAGTCTGGATTCTTATATCCACCTGCCTCCTTGGCGTCTTCACCCAGATGGCTTGCACTTCGAGCCCAATGTGCTCGCCCTTCCAGTCTGCTCTTTGCCGGCTCTTTGTCCTCCCGTGGAAGCAAACGGCCCCTCTGCTTACCAACCTAAGTTGTGAAGCGGCCACGTTCGTTCAGTCCCCTTTTATTGCTGTTTCCATCTCCAGAATACATTCAGATCCGCCTGCCTCTTTCCAGCCCCACCCAGATGCCACCACCCTGTGCCTCAGCCACACTAACTCACCTCCACCTCCGTGGACATCTGTGATTTCAACAGATACCGCTTCCTTCCCTTCCCATACATTCGACACAGCAGCAGGCTAACCTTTGAGAAACACAGGTTAGACCATAACTCTTAGGCTTAAACCTTCCATAGCTTCCTGTTGCACTCTGGATAGAGTAGAAGCTCCTTGCAGTGGCTTGCAAACCCTCCAGGATCTGACCCAACCTGTTTCCGTTCCTGGAGCCTCTCCCTCAGCCCCTCAGCTGCCCCTCCAAAGGCCAGCAGTGTCTTCAGTCTCTTTGCTCTTCTAGACCCGATCTGTGCAAGAGCAAACCAGTCCGTGTACACTGCCGGCCGACCGCCCCTCTCTTAGAGCAGGTGGACCCTGTGCCGCATCTTGCTCATGGTGCGGGTTTATGGGGGTGATCTTTGAATGTCAACACGTGCACCGTTGCTGTTCTCTTTGGTCCCTGTGTAGCGGTCCGCCTTGGGGGCCGGGGACTGATTTCTCCCATCTGCTGTGGGTGCACGTTCGTTTGTGTCCCGTGTCTTGCTTTCTCAAATGCTGTTGCAGCGAACGGCACCGCGACCGGCTGTGCGATGTCCGCCTGTAGGTCTCCTTGCTGGGCCGGAGGACACACGCATTTCTGATTTTGTAGGTGCTGCTGGGTGACTAAGTGACACTTCCCCCAGTGCTATGCTATGTCTTCATTCTCCACAGCCTTGTACCCATTTTACCAAACTCTTTGGTTTTTGACAACCTGATAGGTGAAAAGTGGAATCTCAGGTTACTTTTGTTTTTTTTTTCACTTCGTCAGTTATTTGATCTGCTGCTGTCATTTGCCAGGTCTTCCATTACGTCGCTGCGTGTTTCCTTATAGTTTGTAGGCACCGTTCTTAACTGAGCCCTCTGAGGCGGGAGCCGCGGATTCGTTTTCCCCTGCTTATTGTTTCTTTAACCTTGCTCATGGGGATTTTGGCTATGCAGAGGTTTAAAATGGTTTTTTTACGTATTGTACTATCAGTCTCCTCCGGTTTCCCATTTGGTGTCGTAGTTAGACCTCTTGTCTGCAGGTGACAATTTCCTCATGTTTTCTTGTTCCTTTTCTTTCCTTTTTTTAAATTTTTTTAAGATATATTCATTTATTTTGAGAGAGAGCCCTAGTGCATGCACGCGTGAGTGAGTGGGGAGAGGGACAGAAGGAGAGGGAGAGAGAATCTCAACCCGATGCCACATTGAGTGAGGAGCCCCACATGGGACTCGGGCTCACAACCCTGAGATCGTGACCTGAGCCAAAATCAAAAGTCAGTCGCTCAACCCACTGAGTCACCCAGGTGCCCCTTCTTTTTCCTTTTATATATATTTTCCCTAAGGGAAAATACCGTTTATTGAATACACCATTTCCCCCTTTAATTCGATGTGCTACTTTTATGTTATACTAAGTTTTCTTTTATCTGTCTTGCATGTGTTGGGTTTATTCCCAGGTATTTAGTGGGTTTTGCTGCTACTGTAATGAGGTCTTTTCTTCCAGCGTATCTTCACACTGTTCTTTGTAGATATGATGCCATTGACTGCTGTGCAATGATTTTGTCCTCAGGCACCCGCTTTTATCCTTTCACTACTTGTAATAGCGTTCGTTGGTTTTTTCATGTCTGTGATTATAGCATCTGTGCGCTGTGATCCTGTTACCTCTCTCCTTTGTCTGATCACACTGGTTAGCACACCCAGCACGGTGTCCGGGCTTGTGACGGCCGACATCGTGGCCGTGTGCCCGCCTTTCGTGGAATTGCCTCTTTAGATACCACTAACTCTCATGCTGGTTTGTGAGTTAATTTACATATAGGTGGTAGTTTTGGTTCTGTTTATCAGTATTTCCACCTTTTTTTTCCCTCTTCCTTTCTACTTTTTCTTCTCCCTGCTGGGTGCATGGTGGAATCGTACTTGTCTGCCCACTTGCAGTTGGATTCAGCTCAAGTGACGTGAAGGGTGGCCAATGACATGGGAATGCCGAGATATGTGACACTTCTAGGTCTTTAAGAACTAGTATGAATTTGCTGTTTCCCCCTTTAGGACAAGGGCCCGGCTCCATCAGCCTGTGTTCTGCAGTGAGAAGGATGTGGAGCAGGACCCAAGCCTCAGCATATGTAGAGTTTGAGTGAGAAATAGAGCACTTGACACGCGGGGGTTGTTTGTCACTTCAGCATAAGTTAGCCTGTCCTGACTGATAGAGTACGCTGGTTCCTGCCTTTAGAAGGACCGCTTCTGATCGCATCGCGTTAGACCTGACATTGGCTTTTGGCCAGAGATAGATACTTCCTTATATGATCAAATGTGTCTCTAATGTATCTACTGCTTTTTATAAAGAGCTTTTAAAGTCAACAAGGTATGTTGCATTTTTAAATATGTCTTATTAGCATAGATGGACATGATATAGGGCTTTTGCGATCTGGTAACATAACAATCATGTCACTAGACTGTGTAAAATTAAACCACCCTACAGTCCTGAAGTCCTGAAACAAACTTCACCTAGTCGGGATATGTTCTTCTTTGAATGTGCTGGTGGGTTCTGGTACCCAGTATTCCTCTCTAGGGTTTTTTCTGAGTCTGGTCTGTAACTTTCTTTATTGAGCGTTACTAGAGGTTTGGGGAATGGTTATGCTTGCTTCATAGAAGTAAGTTGAAAGGTTTCTTTTTTCTATCCTGTGGAGCAGTCTAAATAACTTTGGAATGATGCATTCTTGAAAGACTTGACAGAATTATCCTGTGAAACTGTCTGGGACTTGTGCTCTTTCGAGGACAAGAGCTCTTGAATAAATGTATGCAGTTATTTTATGATAATTGAACTATGAAGATTTTTTTTTCTCTCTTCCTGAGTCAGTTTTAAAAATAAATCCATTTAAGTAATTTAAATACAAAAAATAGTGTTTTCTAGAAAATTATGCATTTCAGCCAAGTTCTTAGGTTTGTATGCACGGAGTTGAGCAGTCTAACTTAAGAATCTTTTAATTTCCTCTCTCTCTGGTCATTTCTGTTTATTGTGTTTGTGCATTTGTGGTTTCTACCTTTTCCTTGATTGGGTAATTAAGAATAATTGAAGTGACTAATTAGGACCTAATTATGATAATAGCGTACTTTAAATTTTTATAATTTTAGTAAGCTCGCTGCATTGTTTTTTAGGATCAAATAAGATGTGATTTGTGAAAGTGCTGTATTGACTACAGCATGGAAATATCCACTCAGTGCAATTATTATTACACTCAGTGTAATTATCCATTTTGGTAATTATTTGTAAGTGTCCAGGCCCTTAGCCGGACATAAGGGAATTTGTGAGAGCATTAGACATTTTCTGGCTTGGAGGAGCTTACACTCTAGCTGGGGTCCCAGAAGGGTAAAGGGACATTACAGAACAGCAGGGCAGCGCAGCGACAGGGGTTAGGGCAGGGAGGCCCTAGGGAGACATGGGGGTGGATGGGGTGTGGGAACTAGGGGAAGGGTGCAGTTGCCCCAGGAAAGAGATCGGCTAACCGGGAGTCCAAGGTTTGCTAGAGGGAGTTGAGCTTCCAGGCGGGCTAGTGACGGAGCTATGGTGAAAGTGCGGATGGGGGTACAAGTGCAGTTTCTTCTGGGTTCAGGGTGCGCTGTAAGAAGAGCCGGTCATCAGCAAATACATGTGGAGTCCCGAGGGTGTACTTGATCAACACTGAATTTGTTTTTGAAGGAAGAGTAGGTGTTGATGTAGTTTGTAAGCGAGGAATTCAGTTCTGCGGGACCTGAAGCCAGTGGTCTTTTGAAAACTGTCTATACGCGAATATGACTTATCTAGCCTTGAAAAACTGGTTGAATGACATGGTGAATGCATTTTAGATTATATCTTAAAGATGAGGACTGGGATTTTTGGGCCAGCTTAGCAAACCCAGAATTGCCAATGCTATTTTATTTTATTTTTTGGTTTTTTTTTTTTTTTTTTCCTGATGCTATTTTAAAACGAAAACAAAAACGTTGGAGCATCTAGAGCCCTCTGTTAAGATGACGAGAAGGTACACTTTGGGGAGTGAAATTTTGTTGTTTTTATAGCTGCAGAGCCTGGTAATATTTTCTCTTTGTTGGCCCCAACCCTCAAATAATGCTGGACCTTTTTCCCCCAGACATTCTCCTCTTGGCTGATGAAAAATTTGACTTCGATCTTTCGTTGTCTTCTTCAAGGTAAACCATGAGTTTTCTTCCCTTTCCTTGGGTTTAACCACATTCATTAAAGTCTTTCATTTAAATGCCATTGTTGTTAATAATCCTTTTATTTAAAACAGTGCAAATGAAGATGATGAGGTCTTCTTTGGACCCGTTGGGCATAAGGAAAGATGCGTTGCTGCCAGCTTGGAATTAAACCATCACATTCCTGAAGAACCTCTCTTGTCAGCCTCAGAAAGTCACTTCACCTGGAGTCCTCTCACTGGGGAAAAATTTGTGGAAGTGTATAAAGAAGCCCACTTACTGGCCTTACAGATAGAAAGCAAGAGCAAAAGCAAGGCAGCCCAAGATGTCACAGCTGAAGACCTTTGGAGCCAGGGCGTGGAAAGATTTATACAGGAATCGAAATTAAAAATAAGCCTATTTGAGAAAGAAAATGAAATGAAGAAAAGCCCCAGGTCACTTAAGAGGGAGACCTATTATCTGTCAGACAGCCCCTTGCGGGGCGCGCCACTCCTGGGAACCCAGACCCCCTCTGGTGTGGCCCTCCCGAGGGCTCCCGCCCAGACACAGAGACCGCCATGTTCGTCCCGCTCTTCTCTGCCAGCGGAACCAAGTACTGCTCACCCTCCACACCAGTCAGGGACTCAGAAAAAGGTCATCAGCAAATTGGTGCAGCCCCGGGCTTTTTCTGTGAGAGGGAAGAACATTCCTGTGGCCACGGAGCAGGTAGACACGCACATCCCAGAACATCTGTCTGGAGAGCTAGGTGCTCCCTTGCGTTTTAGCCCTTTGGTTTATGACCCTAAAGGAAACCGTGACAGGGAGAAGCTTGGAAACGTAGCTGTGCTGAGGGCTCAGAAGCATAGGGACAAGGCCCCGGGTGGCTCAGTGGGTTAAGCATCTGCCTTCGGCTCAGGTCATGATCTTGGGGTCCTGGAGTCAAGCCCCGCATCGGGGCTCCCCGCTCAGTGGGGAGCCGGCTTCTCCCTCTGCCTGTTCTGCTGGCTCTGCCTTCTACTCCCCGTGCTTGGGCTCGCTCTCTCTGACAAATAAATAAATAAAATCTTAGGAAAAAAGAAAGAAAAGAAAGAAGTATAGAAGTAGAAAGTCCATGAAGAGCAGGGACAGCCTGGAGAGCTAGGTTTGGGGTGGATATGGACAGGGGCGGGACTACCTTCCTCTTGTGATGACTTAAAAACACCTCCTCCTGAATATCTATTGAAATTTGTCCTTTTGCTTTGTTACAACACTCGATTTTCTACTTATTAAGGATTTCATGTACATTAACAAGCAACTTCCAAAAATTCCCCTCCCGGAACAGCCACTAGCCGTCTTCCTTAGCTGTGAATTTGTTCAGATCTCTTTCCTCCCAAGAATTATGCAGATAAGCTGTCCTGGGAAGTGGCAGTGGACAGCCAGGTCTTTGGGATACGGCCGGCCGGCCAACTCGGTGCACTGGGGCTCCTGCAGATTGCAGGCAGGGCACTCGGGTGGGGGAGGTGTCAAACGGCAGCTGCTTCCAGGCTTTGCTGATGTTGTGCCTGTTCAGGGGAGGCAGCTCCTGCTTTGAGGGGAAGCAGCAGTTAGAGCCTGCTGTGTGCCATTTCTCAGCTCCGCTGCGGACCCGGGCCCCAGGCCTCTGCTCTCTGAGCCGGTTGCAGAGGAATGGTACCGGACGGGGTTGTGAGCAGGTCTGGGTCAGGGCAAACCACCCAGCAAGGGCCGAGGAGCTCCTTTTCCCTCAATGAGGACATCTCACGAGCTGCATGGCTCCCTGCCCTCAGAGCCCAGGGCCGATCTGAGCACAGATCTTGTCTGCCACACTGAAGCCTGGGCAGGGGACATGGTGGCTTCGCTTCCCCTAAATAGCCCCACCGTTCCTTTAGTCATACAAAGTCCTTTGCTGGAGCCCATTGGGATGTAAATTTCTAAAAGTGATGTGCCTAGAATGAGTGACCCGGGTCTTATGGGGAGTATGTGGACCGCGGTAGGGATTACAGGTGGACTCAGGCAATAAGGAAATGCAGTATTAGAAAATAGTATGACATGAATGACCCTTGAGAACTTGCTTAGGGAAGGCAGCCAGACACAAAAGTTCACAAATCGTATGCTCCCATTTCCGGGAAGGGACCATGATAGGCGAATTGTAGAGAGGGGAGTAGTTAGTGGCTCTCGAGGCGGGGAGGTTGACAGGAGTGGAAGGTGACTGCTGATGGCTAGCACTTTCCTTTAGGGACAACAAGAATGTTCTTGGGGTTGATGCCGGTTGTACAACATTGTGAATTTGCTAAAAACCCCTGACACGTACGCTTTGTAATGGTGAATTTTATATTTCGTGAGCTATATCTCAGTTTTAAAATGTTGTAAAGGAAAAAGAAAGTTACTGTTCTAATGCTGTGCTTACTTTATGATCTGCTGCTGCTTCTTCATAGCCGGCCTTGTTATAAGGGGTTATCGACATAAGCCGGGGTTCGTTCCCTGAATGCCCCTGGATCTAAATATTATCAGAAATTTATTCTTTGTTTGACTCTGCTGCCCAGAGAAAAATGGCTTCCAGTACTCTGCCCAGAAGATTCATTACAACTGAGCAGCGTCTCTGCTAGAAGGAACGACGTTTTAATCAGTGATTCCTTTCTAGACAGCATTTTAAAAGTTTTGTTACTAGAACCAGTTTCCTCATCATCCTTAGCTCAGAATCCTGATTGAGGAAAAGCTTTAGAGGATCTCTCTCCTGTTAATGTTCTGAGTATTATTCCCCTCGGTTGTTAATGAGGAAGCAAATGCCATCATCATTTTTGTCCATGGTGACTCAGTGCAGGAAGCGAGCTGCCGTGTTCGCTTCCGTCTGCTGATGAGTGGAGGGACGTGTGCAGCCCGGGAAGATGGACGGCGCCCACCGTTGCTCTACACTGAAGCCTTGGTACTTCTGTACGTTGTTAAAAGACCAGACAGTTCTCACATTTCATCTTAAAATTTTCAGCCTATGAAAAGGATAGCAGCCAGTCCTTCCCAGATGAAAATCCTCACTGAAAAGGAACCCCGCAGGGATGCGGCCCCTGACAAGTCCAGTGTGGCCCAGGACCCCGCCAGCCTCCCGGCTGGGGGAAACCACTCAGTCCAAGGCAAGCGATCGCTCCCGGTTCCGAACAAGGTGGGTCCGGCAGGGCTGGGGGCGGGCGTGGCCTGGGAGCAAAGCGATCACAGGGGCAGCGCGCTAGACATGCAGTGTGTCTTTGAAATCAAGTTGGGGGAGGTTGGAAATGGGATCAGTGCAAGGCCACTTGACGGAAGCTAGAGCGCACGGCCTGGCGTGTGGTGGGGTCTCCGCGGACTGGACTCGGCATCTCCAAGCGTCCATGTGTCTGTGCGGCTCCCCGCTTCCCTCAGAGACGCAACGGGATGTCGGTGATTGGCTCCACCGCTCACCCGCATAGACACAGCTGCCCACAGCCCTGCCGTTTCTTTCCTGGCCTTGTGGTTAAACAGAGCTGCGCGTGAGAACCACTTGTTAAAATTGCCAGAAGCTGGGCCCTACAGCTCGGACTCTGCGGGTGGGGATTGGAGCCCAGAAATCAGCCTTTCCGCAAGGTCCCATGTGTCTTGCGCATGGCTTGGAAAACTACACTTGAGCCGTGCGGCCTGGCCTTTCCCTTCAAATTCAAGACGATCATTGCTCAATTATTTAAAAACCCTAAATTTGCAAAGAAAGGTATAGATCATGGGTATAGATCTTGAACTCTTTGATGACTCTGGGTGTTTTGTTTTGTTTTTGCTGCATTTTGCTGCAGTTGGGACTGAAGAGAACCCTGTTGAAACCACCTGGCTGTGCTGGCGGGCTCTCAAGAAAGTCTTCCTCGGGGTCCATACTACCCTCGATTTCCAGCGTGGGTGCTTCTCCAGCAGCTGGCAGAGGTGCGGCCGGAGGGGAGCTCAGTGCCCAGACCCACCCCTGCCTAGCCAGGCCCGGCTCGGCCCTGAGAGCAATGTCCCTCTGAGATGTTTGGCTCCGCAGAAGGTTGTGGAGGGTTTGTTGCAGTGTGGGGTGGGGGCCATTGTGTTGGGTCCCTGCCCTTGTGGCGCTCCCTTCCTCTGAGGAGAGCGCTCTCCGGCTGGGGTTAGTTTAGGGTGGCCCCGCCCTGCCACAGCTGCCCTGTGCTCCAGGGGCCTGCGAACGTGCAAGGACGCAGAGACCGGCCCCTGGACATGTAACCAGACACAGGTGTTAAAAATAGGACTGTTCCAGATCACTTAGGGCACGTGACCCTAGTAAACTAGGCATTTATTTAAGTCCCCACACCGGAAGCGACGCAAGGCAGGCTGCCTTGTGATCTCCGCGAGCCGAGGGCGCCATCTCGTGGTGAAGGGGAGAAGCCCTGGTGTGCTGGGGGTGGGGGGCGGCCCTCCAGTTCCTTCCAGACTCAACCTGCTAGTCCTGTGCTATTTGCTGTCTAGACGCGTGTGGATTTTCTTCACAAAATGGGACAAGCGTCCTCTCTGCAATCAGACTGATGTGATTAGGAGTCCTGACTGCCCGGTGGTGGGGAGGAGAACTGAAGTCATTTCCGTAGCTGGACGGACGGCAGGATGGTGCCTCCCCTGCAACATTGTCCGGGCTTTAGAGGGAGTGCGTGAGGGGCCCGGCCCAGCCTCCGGAGTGGAGTGTGGCGGTGACCGGGGAAAGGGATCCCTGCCCGATGAGGGGCCGTGTAGTCTGAGCGACCGGAGCTGCAGGGCAACGGCACTGCTCTTACTGGGGGTTGCTGCAGCCCTGCCTCTCGTAAGGGCTGCGAGACGGACGTTGAGTGGGCCTGACGTGCGTGTGTGGTGTGCACAGACGGGGCTGGCGAGGTCCACGGGCAGCGTGTGGTGAGGAGCACTGCGAAGCCGGTACACACCGTGTGACGCGGGCTGCGGCCTCAGCCGTCCTCTGGGCTTTCTACAGGAGTCTTCCCAGATGGGCGTCTGCGGGGGTGGGGGGCGTACTGGCACCTGAGCGCTTGCCCGGGTTTATCTTCTTTCTGTTTTAAATGGTGCCCGGGATTGCTGTGACCCAACTGCCCTGGGATTCGAAGGGACCAAGCAGCTAGGACGGCACCGTCTCTCCCTGTCCCCTCCCAACCTGTCTGGCCAGAGGGGTGGCGCGCGACACTGTCCGCTTCTGGCCGCTCAGCCAGGGCGGGGTCTGCTGTCGACAACAGCAGGGAAGACGGGACGCTGGGACTCACGACTGCTTACGTGGGTCTCGGTAACGTGTCTGCAGTTCGTACCTTAGAACGCACCCCGCTAAGCCAGGAGCAGCCAGACTTGTCCCGTGTTTGAGGACATTGGCTGGCGGGCATGCTGGATGCTGCTCACAGGTCCTGTGTCTGATCGTGAGGAGATATCGTGATAGAAATAACCTTCTTTACTCAAAAACTAAGTGCTAAGTAACTTCGTAATTTAAAAATAACGGAAGCTTAAGTGGTAACCAGATGTTGTGTCTCCTCCTGCAGCTAGATCCGGCGAGCCTGCAGGGATTGCCACAGGCGCTTCCCCGCCGCCGTCACACCGCAGCCAGCCGGGCAGGATGGGACCTGCCGGGCCGCGGCAGCCTCTGCAGGCCGGCCCCTCCGGTGCCACCTGCAGGCAGAGCAGGTGGGCTGCGGCCGCTGGGGCGCTGGCGGAGCCGGCCAAGGAGCCCCCCACAGCGGCTCTCGCCCAAGCCTCGCCGCCAGGACAGGGAGGCCCTGGGCCGAACTCCGGCCCCACCTGGTCACAGCCCTCTCCGCTGACAGCAGCTGGGAGCACAAGAAGGCGTGACTCCTACCTACTCTGTGGGACGTGGGCCGTGCCCACCCCTACAAGTCAGTTTAAGATCCCCAAGTTTGCTACTGGTAAGGAGTTTTTCATATGTTTTTAAAATATTGAACAGATTCTACGTAAGGTTTTTTTTTAGCTTTCTCTCTTTCTCCCTTTTTTTCAAGATTTTATTTATTTGAGAGAGAGAAAAAGAGAGAGCAAGAGACAGGGGAGAGTCAGAGGAAAAAATAGACTCCCCGCTAAGCAGGGAGCCTGATGTGGGACTTGAGCCAAGACTCCAGGATCATGACCTGGGCCACCCAGGTGCCTGGCTTTCTTTTTTCTTACAGCACTTAAATGTGTTGTTCTAGCATCTTCTAGCTTGCGCCCTTTCAGATGAGAACTCCGTGGCGTTCTTGTCTCACAGTCACTCCCCTCTGTCCCATGGCTGCTCCTGTGCTGCTCTCAGAAGTTCCTCTCTCTTGTTCTTTTTCAGCATGTCAGTTATTAGCAGTTCTGACACGGCTTTCTTTGGTTTCATCCTTCTTGGGGATTCTGAGCTGCTTTGATCCGTGGGTTGATATTTGTGTTAATTCTGGGGGGGGGGAAACTTGGATTTTTTCTTGCTTCCCTTCATTTCCTGGGACTTTAATCACAAGTATTACAGGCCTCTCGGTGTGGCCTTGTCGGTCACGGAGGCCCTGGCTTTCCCCACCTTTTCTTGTGTCTCAGTTTGGGCGTTTCAAGGTGATATCTTCGCGTTTACATCTTTCTTTCCAGTTAATTTTTCATTTCTGATATTGTAGTTTTCCCATCTTTGTCATAACAGTGTTTGTTTAAATTCTTGGACATATTTATGATGGTTGTTTTAAGCTGTTTGTTCTGATGCCATCTCCCCTATCATGCTGGGGTCCGTTTCTACCACTAAGTGTTTTTCTGGTGATGGTCACATTTTCCTGCTTCTTCACATGTTTAATAATTGTTGATCACCTCTTAGATGGTTAAGTTCAGGATTTTTGATATCTGTGTTTTGTTGTCCTGTGTTAAGGAGCTGAATCTTACCCTGAAAGGCATTTAAATTGCGGGTCAACTTGATCCTTTTGTGGATTCTTTTTAAGCTTTGATGGGGCAGGTCTTGAAGCCATTACCCTGGGGACCAGGCAGCCCTGCTATGAACACTTGCCTCTCTGAGTCCCTGCTGAGCGTGCCGTATGCTCCTGAGGTCTCCGCTCTGGCCGGATTGACGTGGCGGTCCCGCAGCCCCGTGCGAGTGGTGACAGTTGTTCCCACTGGCCATCTTCATCATGGCCTGTTGGAGTCTCATGCTGTTATACACGTGCTGCTGTTTCTTGTGCAGCTGGCTTGGGCTCCCTCCCCATTTCTAGAGCTTTTCCTCTAGCTCCCACCTGTCTAGGTCTGCCCCCCAAATTCCCACCCCCCTCCGCATCCTCCTATGATCAGTAAGATCGGGGGGCTGGTGTGGCCTCCCCCACCTGCACCAGCGTGGTGTCTGGCAGATAGTAGGGGGCTGTTCAGTGGAGGTACATTCATCTAAGAAATCTGTAAATGTGAACGTTGTACAGTGCGGACTCAAGGGAGAGGGGAGTTGTAGCCTCTCCCACGTGAATGTGCTTTCCAGGAGCTGTTCGAAGTTTCCAGCACTGCCGGCCCGCACAGGTGGCCTTTATGGCCCAGAAGCCTCCTTTGCCTTGTTTTGCCGTAATTAGCTCCTCTTCCTCATGCTCCTGTGCAGCTGCTTCTGCTCCAGCCTTCCCATCTGTCAGCGGCGAAGGTGGGATCGGTGAGGAGGAGCAAGGAGGCTCACCGGAAGTTGTGTGTGCCACGCCCATCTCTGCCCCATTGCCTGGGCCTCAGTCATGGGACTGTGCTCACCTGCCAGGGAAGCAGAGACAGGTTGTCCTCCTGCCTCGCTGATGTTTCTTACTAAGAAGAGGAGAGTGGCTGTTGAACAATCTAGCAGCCTCAGCCAAGTTAGCAAGTGAGGTGTGAGAGGTGAGGGCCGAGAGGCAACAGGGGCCGGTTCCCCAGCACCTCGGGACTGAGGAATGGATCAGAGTAATTCAGTGCAGGGGCCACCATGTGGCTTTAGGCCTTCAACAGAGCCCTCCCCTGAGGGGCAAGGAGGCCCTCATGGTCAAGAATGGAAGCTGGGGGGCGCCCGTGTGGCTCAGTGGGTTAAAGCCTCCGCCTTCAGCTCAGGTCATGATCCCAGGGTTCTGGGATCGAGCCTCGCATCGGGGTCTCTGCTCAGCAGGGAACCTGCTTCCCCCTTTCTCTGCCTGCCTCTCTGCCTGCTTGTGATGTCTGTCTGTCAAATAAATGAATAAAATCTTTTAAAAAAAGAATGGACACTGGGAGAGCCAGGTGGGAGCCTGGGCAGGATGTGAACTAGAGACTGGGGGGGGCTGCTGGGAGATTGGGGGAGCCTGCGGCAGTGTGGGGAGGGACCTCTACACGCCACCCGGGGCCTGCCTCCCACATCGGGGGACGGCACGAGAAAGCACAGCCCTGGCGCAGGCCCACGGGCCAGTCTGGACGTGTTGAGTTGGAGATGCCGCAGGGCTCCTGTGGGCCGGGCTGAGCAGGCCGGTGAGCGCATGAGTCTGGATCCCGTGGGAGAAGCCGCACCTAAAGTGTAGAGTCCAGCCGAGGGCCCAGTGTGTTCACGGAAATGGGTTCTTCAGGGTGACCGTGTTCAGCAGAGCTTGCTTCCTTTCCTGCCAGATGCCCATAGCCATGGCCCTCCAACGACCTTTGTCTGCTGGCTTTGTCGAGCTGTGAGGTCACAGGAATAGTACCGGTCTCAGTGCCTATCACCTGCTGCCCTCTCCTGCCCGTTCTGGGCCCTTAACAGCGCCTCCAGCTCCTCTGAAGTCTGTTTGTCCTTTCCTCACCGTGTCAGGGACAGGGCTGTCTCACGAACACCTTTCATCATCCGCCCTGGTCAGGCTGTTCCCACAAAGTCCGGGCTGGCGAGGCTGCGGGGAGTGACCACCCTGCTCAGAACACCCCGCTCTATGACCGTGTGGCAGCGTGCTCCCTCTGGCTGCGCATACTGGGGGTCGTGACGCCAGCTGTCATTGTCGAGGGGACATGGGGACCTTAGGAACGGGGCCCTGCCCCAGAGCTTTCGGTGTTTGAGGAGAGTTGCTCTTGTTGAAGAGCCCTGGATGTTGGGTTTGTCACTCACCCCATGTGTGACGGACTGTACACGCTTCCTCTCCTGGCCCAGGTGAGCCCCCGGACAGCGCGACACCGAGGTCCTGTCGAGCACAGAGGCCGCAGTCCTGCACATCGGTGGGGAGGTGAGTCGGTGTGTCCTTTGATTTTATATCACTCTGAGAAGGAGCCTGCTCGTCTCTGAGCATTCTCAAGCAGGTGTGTGGTGACCCCACAGCCCAGCCCCATGCGGCCTGAGCCCCAGTCCGTCTGTCACATCTGCCTCGTGACAGTCGCAGGCTTGCCGCCTGTGGTATGACGAACTGACTCTCGGGCCTGACCTCGTGGCAGAAACGTCCACCCCCACAGGTGTGAAAGGGGGCTCTCGTTTGTGCCGCGGGAGGAGACCGGTGCAGTGTCGTTAGTCTGGTTGGGGGTTTTGAATCCTGGCTGCACTGTCCCTGGTCCGTGAGCTAATGCAAGTTCCTGGACATTCCTGACCTCATTTCCTCAGCGGTGCGCTGGGGATGGGGCACGCTCAGCACAGCAGACAGTAAGAACACGCACGCGCACAAACGCACACACGCGTGAGCCCTAGGCCGGGACTGTCCTTCCCCTGCCACCCTTTACTGCCGCCTGCTGGGGTTCGAGGGCCCTCTGTGACAGCCTGGCCCCGGCCGGCTGCCCGGGCACTCTGTCCCAGCTCTGCTCCTCCCTGCACGCGTCCACTGGGGGAGGAGGCAGACGTGAGGACGCTCCCCCAGGGGAGCAGTGTTTCCAGGCCCCGCGTGCAGCCAGCATGGGGGTGCTGCTTTGCACACGGCTGGGCTGGGCTGGGGTAAGGGATTAAGCCAAGTGGCAGCTCAGACACCAGAGCGGGCGCCCGGATGCTGGCTCTGCCACAGACCGGCCTTAGCCTTTCATTTATTTGAGTGTGAACTTTGGAGGTGCTTCTTGGTTGGACAGATGCTTCCCCTTACAGGGTTAGCCGCGCTGTGGGTCTTTCTCTTCACACCCACGGCCAGACAGCCACGGCCTGCCTCACTGTACCCCGTCCCTCAGTCCTCTGCCTGTGCAACGGGACAGTAGTTCCTGCCTCCCTGGGTTACAATGAAGATTATATTTGTTTCCGTTTTCATCTGTTCTTACTGGAGTTCAGCAGTAAGGGGACTAAGGCAGTGGTTCCAGAACTTTGCAGAGAGTGGCTGCTTGACAGAGCCCCGCCTCTCCTACCGGTGCCCTGGAGCGATTCAGTTTTCCAGTTAATATTAATTAAAGTTTGTTTTCAGACTCTTTTCGAAGCAGGTAAAGATTGTCCCTGATGGATGGTGTGTCGCCCGCAGCCCTCCTGTGGGCCGCATGTTGGTAGGACAGCCTCGACTTGTTTACTTTAAAGTAGCAGCGGGCTCCACACAGATGGGCAGATTCACTGGCCATCAAAGCCACGGGGATCACCCAAGTTGGAAGGAGGGATGTGCGAGAAATCATGTGCAGCTGCCCTGATGTACTCATGGGGGCTTACACGTGCTTGGGGGGCCGTTCCCCCCAGGAATGAGTGGACATGCTCATGAGCCCAGGCCAGGCCCCACTGTGGGTCTGCCTTTCCTTCTGGAAACACCTACCCCATCAGAAGGTGACTTCCAGATGTCTCTGACCCTTCCACGCAGTGCGTCTGCACGACCCCGCCTGGAGGGTGCCCGTCATGTCTGGTCAGAACCTGCGGGCAGGGCAGAGCGGCCACTGACCGAGGAACCAGAAGCCCACACCAGGGCCTCCCAGGGGGCTGGGGCAGCCCTTCCTGCCCAGAGCAGAACTCCAGCAGGCTTCATGGGCTTGGATCTTTTATCCTTCGTGTTGAAATCCTGGGGCTTTTTACCGCATTAGCATATTGGCTGAATGGATAATTTTTTAGTCACGTCTGCTAAAGACTCCAGTTTTGTTTTTCCAGGGTGGTTGTCCATAGCACTCCTGCTAGACGCTCGTCAGTGGCGGCCCCGCAGAGCCTTGGAAGCTGTACAAGGACCCCCTTGAGTAGGAAGCACGTGTCAGCCCTGCCCACACCTGCCAGCCGCCGGCTCTCTGGCCTTCCAGTGATGACCCCTAAAACCGTGCCCAGAGCTCTGGCTTCACCTCTGTGCGTGTCCGCCCGGTGGCTTTCTTCTGAGCCCCGGAGAAAGTCTTCAGTGAGGTAAGAGGTAAAGGCTGCAATAAGTTCATCTCGGACTCTCAGGACCCAAGGTGATTCTTGCGCTAGCTGCCTAGTCTGGCGGGTGAGTCACTTGTCGGGAACCAGCCAGGCCGAGGCTCATCACATCTGCTCAGCTGCAGCCACGGGGGTCTGTCAGTGGGCCTCTGAAGCGAGGGAGGGCACCTGCTTGTTCCACTGTCATAGTCCCCACCCAGCGTCCTATCCCGGTTGGCTGCTGGGCTGGGCAAGGAGGGAGAGCATCTGTCCTGATCGCCTGTCACTGTGGGCCATGGCCTCTCACTGGGAGCAGCCCTGTGGACAGAGGGCCCCGTAAGGTGTGCCCCCATCCGGAGCTCTGGGGTCTGGTGCAGTCTTTGCGACTGGGTCCCCGGGAGAATCCCACAGTCTGGCTGCTAGGGTGTTGGTCAGGGGTGACCACACCCAGATTTCCCGAGAAACAAACTGAATTCGCTAGACTATCTGTCCTACCTGCCTCTCCCCCCTCCCTCCGCTCTATCCCCACCACTTTGCTCCTGCCGTGATGCCCCCCCGACCCCCAACATGGCAAATAGGCTGTCCTGGCCGTTCTCCGCCTGGAATGCACCTCCCTCCACAGCTGAAGTCCATGTTGAAGGGCCAGCCTCAGGGGCCTTTCCAGAAAGCCTCACTCCCCACCTGGTCACTTCCATTTTCTGTTTGATCGTCTTCAGAGCGTCTCTCCTTGCTGCCGGACGCAGAGTACGTACTGGTCTAGTTACCGGATTCCCCAGGAAAGGGGAGCGAAATAGGCTCGTGGGGACAGCAGGCTAGCGAATGGTTAGAGCCAGAGGACCTCAGACTTTTATTTTTATCCACGAGGGGGCTTAAGGCTGGAAGGAGCCTCGCGCACAGTGGGAGCTGCCATGGACGGCACGCGCCACCTGACACGCCTCCTCCAAAGCTGGACTCCTCGCCCACAAGCCAGCATGTCCCCAGACCCCTCCTAAGATTTCTGTTTCTCTGTCTGGCAGAGCTGCACCAACGCAGAGGAACAGCATCGAGGCCACCTCTGGGCGCGAGGACTCGTCACCTGAGGGGCCTTTGTCCCCTCCGTCGGCCGTGCCACAGGCACTTCACTTTTCTCCAGAGGAGAGGGACTTGACTTTTACAAAAAGCATCGGCACGGAAGTAGCGCTGGATGCGGCCCAGCCCCCTGGAGACGCGGCCGCCAGTGAGGTACCTGTGTCACCCCGGGTGACCCGGCTGACTTACCACGATGGTCCCCAGAGGCACTCTCCAGGACTTGATCCATCGTCCCCGGGGCCTCCGGTGCCAGCCGTGCCAGAGAGAGGGAGTGTGCGCCTCCAGCCTCTAGCGGGGACCGAAGCCACACCCCGCCCCCCCATGTCGGATAGGAGAGGGCCAGGCTCCAAGCATGGGAAGCAGGGCAGCAGCGGGAGGGTCAAGGGGAGCTCCGGGCTGTTGGCCGGGGCAGTGGTTGGAGGTGGGGCTCTGTGGGGGGCAGCCAGAGAGGAGAGAACTCAGCAGGTGCCCACACAGCCATTCCAACCCCTAAAGGCCCCTCCTTCCCTGGGTCTCCTATGTTTTCTCAGAATGGTTGACAGAAAGTTGCTGGAAATGCCTTTAAGTCTTGTGTTCTTGTCTAGGCTCTTCTCGTGGATCTCAGACTGGACCAGCTGGCCGTCACCCCGCAAGCTGAAAGCACAGCCCCCCTCGACGTCCCTCTCATTGACTTTTGTAATAGTCCGGAGGCGCACGTGGCTCTGGGATCTGACCGTGGACCGCTGATCGACCTGCTGCTCAACACTCCAGACATGGACGGGAACACTGCGTCCAAGGCCCCCCAGGAGGTGGGACAGGTGAGGAGCGGCCGTGGGCTCTGTGGCCGTGTCACCTCGGGTGGCCTCCCTGCTGGGTCTGTTCCTTGTCCTATGGGCTTCACAGTGACCCTTGGGAGTGGCCTGGGAGGTTTCTAAGGTGACATGGCTCAGGGCACACCCCACTGGTGGCACCAGGTCCTGGTACAGGACCCTGCCTGGGAAGCCCAGGCTCTCAGAGGGTGGGGGTCACGTCACCGCCCCTGCAGGGCTCCCCCCACCCCCCGCCTACCCTGTGACGAGGGAACTCCGAGTCCTTCCGTGTGGCATTTCCTCCTTCCGGCTCCGGCTCCTCTCTCCGCGGGCCTGAGCCAGGCTTTCCGGGCAGTTGGCGGCCCCGCGCTGCGGCAGAGAGACCTTGAGGGGAGCCGATGGGCTGCGAGGGGCAGTGTGGCTGCACGGCTCACCGCCTATCGCTTCTTGCAGCTGATCGACTTGGCTTCTCCTCTGATCCAGCTGAGCCCTGCGGCTGACAAGGAAAACGTGGATTCTCCACTTCTCAAGTTCTGAGGAGAACACAGTCTTTTGCGTTTCATTCTTTCTAAAAGAATCTTCAGTCCTAAGGTGGTTTTCAACCCTTAGAAATAAATCTTAGGAGAAGTTGTACTGGGGGGAAAAGCCAACCTTCGGTAAGGGTCCTGTGCCTGGAGGGGTTGCTGCGGGTGGGGGTGTGTTTGTGGCTCCCGGTCACTGCTGCCCAGCGTCTCCCGCACATGCCGCCCAAGCGCCGGGCTGAGACGCGGAGGTGCGGTTGTTCCGGTTGAAGAATTCTGTTTTGGATGTAAAATAGCACGTGACTATTTTTAAAATTAAGTTTGTATGGAAGTTAAATATTCTAGACTTAAATTGTAAAATAAATGAAAATTATTAAAACACACCTTGGTTTTTAAGGTTGTCTACATTTTCAAACATGCATAACTATTTTTATTATTATCAGATTAGGTATGCAAACCTTTCTTTTTTTTTAAAGATTTTATTTATTTACTTGTCAGGGAGCACAAGCAGGGGGAGCTACAGGCAGAGGGAGAAGCAGGCTCCCGCTAGCAGAGAGCCCTTGGCAGGACTCAATCCCAGGACTCAAGATCATGATCTGAGCCCAAAGCCGATGCTTAATCAACTGAGCCACCCAGGTGCCCCTAGGTTATCCAAACTTTAGTTGTTTCAAGTGATTTTCAAAATTGAGTATGAATAAAAATTGGTTTAAATGCAGATCCAGGCTCACGGCCCAGGTCTGGGGCAGGCCTAGTAATCTGTGCTTCCAGCCTACACTCAGGACACACCTGGAGAAGAGGCTGCTCCGGGGAGTGAGGGGGCCAGGCCGAGGGAGAGGTGTGGGAGCTGAGGTCCAGCCCGTCTGGGAACGGGGGTGAGGAGGACCCGTCCACGTGCTCAGAGCAGGAGCCTATCTGGTAGAGGGAGCTGAGGGCCACTGGAAGGTTTCTCCCTGACTAAAGCCATTCTCATTTAAATCTTTTCTAAAAACTAGCTGGCTTGGAAGCCAGTGATCTATATAGATACCTCATTTTTTGAGAAAATTTCGCAGTCTGAGTGCAGTGGCCTCTCAGCAGACCGGAGTCACGGGGCCTGCTGTTTGGGCTCCCGTCTGGTATTTCCTGCCCGATACCAGGGAGCCTCGGTCCACAGTGCGGAGGGGGACAAGCCGGGGCCGTGCCTTGAGCTTTCTCTGGTTAACGTTTCAAACGGAGAGGGGACTCCTGTGCTGCCCAGAAAAGGCCCGCGTGTCTCGGCACCGCACCTGCGGAGGAGCTTTCCATGCAAAGGCGGGAATGCTTGCCAGTGCGAGCGCTTACCTGGAGCTGTCTGCGTCAGCTCAGACTCTGGAAGCTGAGTGCCCTGCTCTAGGTACGCTCCCTGGCCAGGGGGACAGAGAAGCGACCAGAGTCACGGCAGCCCCTCCTCCCTCGGCTCTGTTCCTGAGGGCGACAAGCATGCTAGGCTCCCATGTTCATGCCAGGTGTCCTCTGATGTGGCCCCTCAGCTCACGGGGGAAAACCCGAAGCCTGGAACTGACCCTTCACAAGTTACTAACGTCTTCTGTATCTATTTTTAAGTAATCTTCACACTGACCTTGGGGCTGGAGCTCACGAACCCGAGACCAAGAATCGCAAGCTCTTCTTAGGAGCGGGACAGGCGCCCTCTGCATTGATGGAGACTACTACGGGCAGGCTGCTTTGCTCCCAGCGACACAGAAGCGAGCAAAGCTCATGCCTCCCCCTCACCTGGGGCTTTACGGCTCAATAGGAAGGAGGGACATTAAACTCTTCGTCAATATACGATCATTAAGTGGGGCTCTGGCCATCCCATCCAAACCAAGGGGATGAGCTGGGCCTTGGGCCTTGGCCTGCTCCCTGGCTCTTCTCGCCCCTCCCCTCCCTCAGGCTGCCTGGGGAGCGGCCAGGCTCTTGGGGCCCAGGGGCATCGCCAATCTACAGGCGCCCCCAGACAGGACAGAAGTAATAAGGATTTTAATCCTGTCAAAAAGACAGATACTCGAGCTCCCTGAGTGGTGGCCACGTTCTCCACGCAGTAGCGTGAGGGCTGTTGGCGGCCACTACAGAGCCCCCCTCCCGGGTTTAAGAGGTCCAACTTCATGCCATTTTTACCGTATCTCATTAAGCTCCTGATGCACATCTCCGGAATCTACACATATGACATCGCTGTTGACAGATGGCACTTAGGACATCGCTGTCCTTCCCACGGCTGAACCATCCAAAGCGGCTGAAATGGCAGATCTTTAACTGAAAAGCAGCAGAAAATGCTGCAAACGTTTCATGTTTCAGCTACCTCGTGGGTGGGTTTGCCGCATACCTAAACCCAAACCCTTTGCTCAGGCAGGAAAACTGGACTTCCGCCCTAACCTTGTACCGAAATGCCACACCCAGGAAGGGTGAAGTCCTCTAGACTGAGCCAAAATGTCCAGTGGCCTCAGCTCAGCCACTCCAGACTCAACGGAACGTTCACCCCAAAGTTGCTGTCAGCTCTTCTGGGAGGTGTGAGATGAAACAGATAGTCTCATCGATGTTTTGTTGGCTGATACCTTGTTCTTTGGAAAAAGCCGTCATTCCTGTTTCCCCACAGGGCCCTGTGACCGGCCCTTCTGTCAGGGAGCTCACCCTGTGGCTGCTCCTGGCACCGGTGGTCACGACTCTCTAGGTCACACAGGTCCTGCTTCTCTTCTCAGAAACAGAGTCTTGGGCCTTCCTTGTTTCTCTCCAGACCCTGAAGCTATTCCTGCCCTCAGGAAAATGATCCTTAAGAATGATCCATGTTTTCAGTCCACTGCCAATCTACTGAGAAACTGTGAAGAAACTACCACAGTTTTAACCTGAGGCTTTGGGTGGTGGGTGTTAGTGGCCTGATTCCCACCTATTCGCATCTGTTCCCTTGCACTTTCAAACCATGGTTCCAATTCTACATGAAATCTCGTAGTTCTCCATCCAGTTGCCGTCCAGTTTTAGTGGGCAGCACCAATGGTTTTTTAAACATGACTGAGAACCGGACAGAAAGTAAGCGTACGTGGCACGTTGCAAAGATAAAACTGTTTAGAGAGGCTTCTTCTGATGCTATGATTGGTGTGTCCTCTGGGCCACTCTAAGATGTGGCACTGGGTTTGAAGTGAAGAAAGGTCAGAGTCGCCAATTTATTTATTTTTTAAAAGATGTTCTTTATCTGACAGACACAGCTCACAAGCAGGCAGAGAGGCAGGCAGAGAGGCGGAAGCAGGCTCCCCGCTGAGCAGAGAGCCCGATGCGGGGCTCAATCCCAGGACCCTGGGATCATGACCTGAGCCGAAGGCAGAGGCTTAACCCACTGAGCCCCCCAGGCACCCCCAGAGTCGCGGAGTTAAAGGGTGTCTGATCTCGCTTGTGTAGACAACAGCTTCAGGTGCCAACGCAAATCTCAGTCCTTTGTGCCCGGGGGCGCTCCTGGTCCGATCCGTGCCACCCCCGCCATGGCACTCCGCACTGACCACCCCTTCCCTCCCGCCGCCCCTCGGCCAGCCAGTCAGCGGACCTCCAGCCCGCTCGGCTCGGCCAGGTTTCCTACCCGGGCTCCTCCTTTGCTTCGCTCACCTCCACCTTCCCACGCTCTCTTTAGGCCCAGCGGATGTCTCCGCGGCCCGCCGTCCCCCTCCCCGGAAACGTGCTGCCTCGGTCACCCGCCCGGTGCCCCCGCGTGCGCTCCCGCTCGAGACCGTTCCCGAACAGCCGCATCTCCAGTCCGAGGGTGATGGCCCGAGCCACCTGACGCGCGGGGACGGGCCTGGCGGGCCACTCCCTCCCCCGGGGACATCCCGCAAGACGGAAACATCGAGCCCCCACCCTCTCTCCCAACCCCCCCCATGTCCGTTCCCGCAGGCGCGGGTACAGAGTCGACCCGCAAATGCACCCCCGCCCAGGTGGCTGTCACGGGCTGCCAACCAGCTCCCAGCTCGTCCCGGCCAGGGCAGCCACGAAGAGCTCTCGAAATTTACACGGGATCCTTCCACTCCCCTGCTTAAAGGCCGCCTCTCCTAGAATCCGGCTCTTCGCCGCACCCCCTCGAGGACGACCTCGGCTCCCACGCCCGCGCTCAGGCGGACAGCACCCACTCCGCCCCGCAGCAGCGCGCGCAAGCGCAGCAGCCAGCCCGAGCGCGGCTGCGCGCGCAGGGGGAGTGGGCGGGGCCTCGGGAGCGGAAGCCGGGGCGGGGCCGGAGCGCCGCTCGCGAAAGCGCGTTTCCGGTCGGGCTGCGTCGGCGTCCCCGCGGCGGAGGCGGGACTTCCGGCGCGGCACGGAAGCGGTCGCGCAGCGTGAGGGAGGCTGTCGATGACCTGATGCAGGCGGCGCGGCACGTCGTGGTCGCCCTGTCCGGCGGGGTGGACAGCGCCGTGGCCGCGCTGCTGCTGAGGCGGAGAGGTCAGCGACCGCTTCTCGGGGACTCTGGCTGTGCCAGGTTCCCCATGCACTGGCGGGCGGCATCCCCGACTTTGGGGGCCCCGAGACCCTCTGACCCGGGGGACGGCGGCGGCGGGGTCTGCGCTGACCCGGGGACGGTCCTGGCCCCACCGGGGCCCGTGCGGCCAAAATGTCCCCTGAACGTCCGTGCGACACGCCTGTGCCGGAGCGCCAGCGTCTGTTGCGGGCGTCCGGGGAGTGCCGGGGTCGGGCGCCGACTGAGCTGCGTTCTCCGTGTGAGGCCGCCTCCACGGGGTGGCACGCAGGGCTGGCGGGGCGGGGGGGCCTCCTCGGTTAGTCCAGCGTCCTTCTCTGAAAGGTGGAGGGACCCCCCCCCCCCCACGTCGCCGGGCCGCTGGGAGGATGAGCTGACACTAGCCCGCGCAAGCGTCACCCCGGAGCCCGGCACACAGTGGGCGCTCGGAAGACAGTCGTGGTTATTAAATAGAAATGCAGGCACCCGGGGCGCCTGGGTGGCTCAGTCCGTTGAGCCTCGCCGGGGTCACGATCTCAGATCTCAGAGTGGTAAGATGAGCCCGGGGAGGGCTGCACACTCGTCGGTGTCTGCTGGCGATTCTGTGCCTTCCTCCCCACCCACTCATGCACGTGCAGCGCTCTCACTCTCTCAGATGGATCTGTGGAAACAATGTAGGCGCGCTGTGCACCTGTAATTTGAAATCGGGAATTAAAGCCTCACCGGCGGTGGTGGTGGGTAAGGCCAGATGAGACCCGAGGCAGAGTAGCATTTCACTAAGCAGGGAATCCGCGTGAAGTGTGAGGACAGTGTTCCTGGCAGGCCGCAGCTCCAGCAGAAGGTCAGAAGCATGCAAGTGTTGGCCGGGTCTGCACAGACGAAGAAAAGAGTGATTATGGCCGATGTTACCCGAGAGACTTTGTACTATGCGGGGTAGACCATGCAGAGCCCTTGAAGGTTCCTGATGATGTGTGTGATGTGCTCTGACACATGGGGCAGACTAGCCATGGGCAGACCGCGGGGATTCCTTTTACTCTTCAGGAAGGTCGGCTGTCCCTTCTCCCCAGGATCCAGACGATCACTCCATATTCCAGCCTTCCCTGGGGTTTCCTCCTCAGTGGGGGACGCTGATGGACTTAGCAGAGGAAAAGCGTGGTCCTCTCCTTGGCATCACGGGTTTCCCTAGTCTTGTGGGAGGGGCACGTCCTATCCTGTGCCCCCCAAAAGGCACAGGTCCCATTCTGGAGTGCCTGAGCCTGGGCACCTAAGTGGGTCCATGTCCTTGAGAAGAAGGATAAGGTGATAGAAGAGGGGATTTTTAAAGCTGTGTGTGGGGTTGTCTCTTCTGCGAGCACCTCGTTAGCTCCGGGTTCTATGCAGGGACAGAGGGTTGAATGAGACATAGTCCCTGCTCTCTTAAGAGCTCCATGCTGTAGTGAATGGCAGAAGGAGCCCAGCAGAGTATGGTGTGCGCTGGAGGACAGACAGTAGGGGCGGGCCTGGTTAACTGCGGGGAGCCGTGGAGGGGTGGTCTGGCGGGTGTTCGGTGGCACACTCTATTAAACTTAGTCACATGTCTTGGGTTCTGTTACATTGAGCCTAACCACTGAGAAACATTTTTTTTTTTTTTAAGATTTTATTTATTTATTTGACAGACAGAGATCACAAGTAGGCAGAGAGGCAGGCAGAGAAAGAGGAGGAGGCAGGCTTCCCACTGAGCAGAGAGCCCGATGCAGGGCTCGATCCCAGGATCCTGGGATCATGACCCGGCTGAAGGCAGAGGCTTTAACACACTGAGCCACCCAGGTGCCCCCGAGAAACATTTCTTATACATTTCTCCCACGGGGTAGGCACCTGAGAGGGTCGCTAAGATGTTTGAAAGCTAACACTGGGCTTTCTGGTATTTGGTTGGGTACTTTGTTAAAATAGAAGAAGTCAAAGAAAGGTGGTAAAATATATAATTAGTTCAACCTTTATAATAAAATAGCCTGGATTTTAATTATCTTCTTGTCTGATGACTTAGAGTCTAAGTTCTAGATGATAATTGGAAAAAGTCTTTGAAATTAGTTTATTTTCTCGATAACAGAATGGTGGTTTTTATCTGCTTTGAAAAATGTTGAATTTCTGCTCTTTTGTCGTTCAGCACTCATTTGCTGAGCCTATCCCGCGTGCTAGGCATTGTGCAGACACAGGGTGGGGACACAGAGATGAAAATACACCACCTCGCTCACTTGGGCAACACAGGCCAACAAGTGCAGTCCTGCAGCCCACTGTGACGATAGAGGCATTACCAAGTGTCATGGGAGTGTGGGGGAAGGGGCGTCTCGGCCAGCTGGGAAGGCAGGTGGCTTGCACTCAGATTATTGATTATGGACTCTGATTTGTGCCCCCTTCCTCCCCCAGGCTACCAAGTGACAGGGGTGTTCATGAAGAACTGGGACTCACTGGATGAACATGGAGTGTGCACTGCCGACAGGGACTGTGAAGATGCTTACAGAGTTTGCCGGATCCTTGACATCCCTTTCCACCAAGTGTCCTATGTGAAGGAGTACTGGAATGATGTGTTCAGGTGGGTCCTTTTCAGAGACGCAGAGGGCTTCCTGATGCGCCGTACCGCCTTTCTGCGGGAAGGACTGTGGTCGTCAGCCGGACCGGGGGCACATGGCCACTGCTGTTCGGTGGTGGCGCCACAGACCGCGGATGGCAGGTCCTAGAACAGCCGGCCTCATATTTCCTTATGTGCCACCTGCTAGAAGTCTCCCTAATGCCTTCACGAACCTTGAGTTGTTTCTGCTGCTAGCTTTGGGTGAGGGAACTAAGGCTGAGGTCCTCCCTGAGAGGTGGCATGCGGTGATGCCTGTGCAGGTCAGCGGTGAGAGGCTTCTGGGAGAAAGAAGTAGGTGAGGCGCCCCTCCCTGGTGCCTCATGAAAACGTGAAACACCAAAACTTCAAAAATGTGACACCTGCCAATGGAGATCTTTCAGTGCCTGCTCCGAACGGGCACAGTGCAGCATCGGGGACATAAAGGGGGACAGGCAGGAGTTTGCAGCCCGGTGGGAGGGGACGTTCCCGTCAACAGAGGGGACAGTGGTGAGCGGCGTGGAGGAGGTACCAGCGATATGAAAATGCTGCACGTTCAGAGGAGGGAGAAGTGGGTCATATGGAGCAGTCAGGAGGGCTTCATGGAAGAGGTGAGGTTTGATCTGCTCTTGAAAATAACAGTGAAGTAGAGAAGATTTTCCAAACAGGACAGCAAGAGCAGTGGTGACAAGGAAAATCCCCATCATTCTGGGGGGGAGCGTTGACAACTTTGGCTGGACTCTTGTCACTGTGGAGGAAGGCTGCTTGACCTGGGGTATGGGGAGCGCAGCTAGGCTCTGCAGTGGGTGGCCATCAAAGATGTCCCGGGCAGCAGTGATGTGCACAGGTTTAGGATAGGCGCATGCATAAGGAAATCCTTGGGTCCAGTCTTGATCCTGCCACTTACTGCGTGGCTCTGGGCAATGCGCTTGGCTTTGTAAGCCTTTTTTTTTTAATCCCTTTAATGAGGATATTGCCTCACGGGGTTATTGTAAGAATTAAATGAAATTAGCTATAAAGCTGCCAGCACTGTGCCTGGCACATTAGTAAGCAATAAACGTAGCTCGTGATTTGTATTAGTGAAAAGCGCAATCTGGGAGGCAAGTGTAGGGTAAGTTATGGGAGAAGATTGGAGGCAGAGAGCTTGGGAGAAGCCGCTGTTAGAGGGTGGGAATGACAGGAGCGTGGAGTGGGGGTAAAGGCTGGCGGCGGCAGCCCTGGGGGCAGATCCGCTGGCAGCGGAGGTCAGGCTGAAGGACTGGCGGGGCTGCTTGTTAAACATCCACCTGAACGGGGCTATGGGATGTCAGCCTGGAGCGACACTGCGACAAGCACTCCATTCATTCTGGTGGGGAGACCCATCCGGCCTTACATGGGAAATGGCGCCAAGGGGCTTGGTGACTGACGAGTGTAGGAGTGGGAGAAAGTGGAGGCAGGGTAGCTTTGCCGTTGAATCCGGGTGGGTGGGGAGAGCTGTTTTGGGGCGTCCTTTCAGTACTGCAGGGCTTAAGGTGATAGCAAGAAATCCAGGCGGATTTAAACTTCACCTTTATTGCTACGTTTGGAAAGTGTGTGAGCGAATGTGAATTTCTGGAGGTTAACTCACGTTTAACGGACGCCAGGCGGGCTCTGGCCAGTCTGCCCTCTGCCTCCGTTTTGTCCTGGTGGCCTGCGTGGGTGATTGGAATTGTGCTCAGTGATCTTGGCGTTCTGAACGCTCACCGCTCTGTTTTGTTTTGTTTAAACATGTTATTTGAGAGAGAGCGTGTGCACGAGCTGTGGGGAGGGGCAGAGGGAGAGGGAGAAGCAGGCTCCCCGCCACGCAGGGAGCCCGATGCGGGGCTCGGTCCCAGGACCCTGAGATCGTGACCTGAGCCAAAGGTAGCCACTTAACCATCTGAGCCCCCCAGGAGTCCCCAGACGCTCACCGCTCTGATAGCACTCTCCAGCTCCGAGATTTCTTCTGAATTCCTTGGTTACAAGGCCCGTTTGGGCTTCAAGGGTCAGAGTGTGGGTGTTCTTTCCTCTTGCCGTCTCCCTCCTGGGGTGCAGACAGGTTTTCTCCCGTCGCTGAACAGGCTGTGCTCCGTGGTTTTTGCTGACGCCACTGACTTCTTTTCCCTTCAGCCGTTTGGGAAATGGTCAATGTGATTTTCAGAAGCAGGTGGACACCGTCAGCCTCTTCAACATTCATTCGGAACTTGTTATGTAGAAAGCGTTCTGGGGGCTGCGGACACACGGAGAGTAAAGCAAGAGTTTAATGAGACTCTTGACAACTTTCTAACAGTTAAGAAATTGAAATATGGAGCAACGCAAGTGTTCTCCCTTCCTGAGAGGACTGAGAGGTGGTAGGGACGTGTGGCATCGCCTGCTGGAGTTGAAGATACACGTGTGAGCTGTGACCCCGCGCAGATTCTCGGTGTCTTCGTGACATGGCCCTCTGGGTCAGCGTTGTCATTTGTAACCATGGTAGAGCAACACAGAGCTTTAGGTTAAATGGAAAATGATCACAGGTACTCCAGATACACCTGTAACTTTTTTCTTTTTTAAAGATTTTATTTTGAAGTTATCTCTACACCCAGCTCGAAGTTCAAACCCATGACCCCAAGATCGAGAGTTGCATGCTCCTCCGGCTGAGCCAGCCAGGTGCCCCCCACCCTTTAATACTCACTTTAAACTCCTGGAATAGGCATCATAATCCTCCTAGAGTGGATACTGTGAGACCAGGAACTTGTTGCCGAGCTGTCCTCCTTCCACGTCTAGTCAGCCAGCCTCTTAGAGCAGAAGTCAGGCCAGCCAGGCTGTCTGTGCCCTGGAAGCATCCAGGCCATTGCTGGCCCTCGGAAGTATGGGAGTCACAGTAGAAAAGTATCAGCTGGCACATTTATTCACCCAGTGACCTGGGTCCCCAGGCCGAGATTGTGGAATAGCTCCTGGAGCCCCACATAGTGGCTCTGGGTCGTTGGGTTCCTGCTCTCACTCCGGCGTGTTATTCCTCCAAGCCGTCCTCTGCTGGCGGAGTCAGGAGAGGCTGGGGTTGAGTGAGTCCATCCTGCACGGGGCCCCGTACAATCTGTGAGCCTCCGGGGAGACAGAGTGGCTGCTGGGCCAGAGTGGCAGGTGATACCTGGCTTTCTGTCCAGCTTTGTCTGTTCCCATAGATTCAGATGGAAAGTGCAGCTGGCTTTACGCGAATGTTTGATGAAAACACTGACAGTGGCTGTCCACTGAAGCTCTCCTGATTTACGGAAAATTGTAGCTTTGGTGAGACAAGGAGAAGCTAACTTAAGCAAGTAATTCAACCTAATCATTTTTAAAGATTTTATTTATTTATTTGAGAGAGAGAACGTGAGCTCAGCGGGTTGGGGTGGGCAGAGAGGGAGAGTGAGAATCTCAAGCAGACCCTGTGCCAAGTGCGGAGCCCAACCAGGGGCTCAACCCTACAACCCCGAGATCTTGACCTGAGCTGAAATCCAGAACCGGACACTCAACTCACTGAGCCACCCAGGTGTCCCCGATAGATTTATTTGTTTGAGGAATGTTTCACACTTAGAAATGAAAATCGTTTTCTTCTGTTCCAGTGACTTTTTAAGTGAATATGAAAAAGGAAGGACTCCTAATCCTGACATAGTCTGCAACAAGCACATCAAATTCAGTTGTTTTTTCCATTATGCTGTGGATAATCTCGGTAAGTCGTTTTGCTCTTTCCATTTAATCTCTTTAAAATTGTAAGGTTTTCAGAGATACTCAGGAGCCAAATCCCGGTAAACAGTTTCATCTTCAGAAGGAAAGGAAGCAGTGGAAACGATAATATTCTGTTATCTTCCTGAGTAAGAAAGAACTTTCTGGCAATATGCAGATGACAGGGTCTCCGGGAGGAAGGAGTGTGTCCTCACCATGGACCTCTCAGGTGTGGGGGCGGTGCTCTAGGTTGAGGACCAACTTCTGGGCATCCTGCCGAAACAGGTCACAGGCAGAGAGCCGGAAGCAGGGCCGCCAGAGCTTGCCTGCGGGTCCAGCTTCGCTCAGAGCAGCCCCAGTTGCAGGCAGGGTCACAGCGGGAGTGTCACGAGCCCTCCTTAGAGCTCCGGAAAGTCGGCTTCGGTGTCTTTCTGGGTGTTCTTTTTGCCAATCCTGCTGAGACTTTATTCCCCTGCCCTGAGCAGCTTGGTTTCTGGGCCTTTCTTTCCCTCCTGGATTTGAAGCCATGTTTTAGTGGTCTGTTCTTTTTTTTTCTTAGATTCTGTTTGAGAGAGTGAGCACGAGCAGGGGTGAGGGGCAGAGGGAGAGGGAGAAGCAGGCTCCCCGCTGAGTAAGGAGCTGGGAGTGGGGATCGATCCCAGGACCCGGAGATCAGGACCTGAGCGGATGCCTCACTGACTGAGCCACCCCGGTGCCACTGGTGGTCTGTTCTCAAAGCCCACCGAGGCCCTGCTCGCTGCTTACAGCTGCCTGCAGATTTTGTCTGTCTCCATCGTTCTCCTTTCTCCTCTCCGTCTGCCTGCTGTGGCATCCCTGTGCCTCTGTGGGGCTCCCTGACGCTGCCTTGCTTGCTGGGGCTGCCCGTGGCCTCTGCTGCCTTAAAGTCCACATGCTCACTCCTGTGCCCTGCCCTGCCCTTGCAGAAATTTCTGATTCTGGCCTTTCCGTGTCTTCTGTCCCGTGCGGCTTTTTGCTGCATCTGGCCACGTGCCCCAACGTTATTGTGACTGTCCTGAGCCAGTGGTCCAGTAGTGTCCCAGGACTGTTGGCTGCTCTGTCCATCAGCTGTGCCGCAGAGACAGAAGCGGGCTCACTCTAGGCCTGCAGACCCAGAGCACAAGGGCCCTCCCTCTAGGGAGGGGACACACACTGGGTCACAGGCCTCAGTGATGCCTGCAAGACAAAGGCCCCAGAATTCTGGATGCATTTGAATGACTGATGCCAAAACTGAACCTTGGTAGAGATCCTATTCCAAGTTGGCTAACTACGGTCAATCTTCCCTCTTGTCAGTGGTGGGGAGCAGATCTGGGCCTCCCGCTGCCTGCAGTCCGGCATTACCTGGTGGTTGGGGGTGTCAGGAAGGAAAGGCCCTGCTCTGCCCTCGTGGGCCACGTCTGGGGGGCTTACAGTTAGCTCCCGTTTATTCAGGAAGGGAGCGACAGGTTCATGGCTTGTGCGGTGACTTTGGTTTTGAGTGTGTTGGGAGACAGGACCTTGGATGAGCTTGGTGATTACCATGGGGTCATAGTGGCCGTGCCTGGTGAGTGGCCTCCTTTTGTGTGCCTGCCACACAGGGCAGGGCCTGGCTGTGCAGAAGGACCGCACTTGGGAGGGGTGCAGCCAGCTCTGTGGGAGGGGGGTGACACCTCCCTGTGGCGAGAGAGGCTCCCCTCGCCTTAGCCTCTCAGGGAGCCAGCCCGAGGTGGCCGTCTGTTGGGGACGCGTCAGAAGGAGTTTCTGCGGGGCGTGCTTGCGTGTCTGAATTCCCCGCGTGAGCAGCGCGGCACGGAGTGCCAGTCCGTGCAACCCGGACTCTGAGATCTTGGGGTCTCTCCCAGAGGGACTCGACGCTTGACAGTGTAAGTGGTCGTTGTTTGGGGAAATAGATTGAAGGAGGGTTTTTCCTCTCTGAGAAACAGTCAAGGTATAACAGGTTCCCAAGTGTGCTTTTTCTGGTAGTTCATATACAACAGTTCTTCTACCGGTAAGAATCTGCCTTAGGGTAGGGAATGCGTTTGGCAAACTGGAGAGCCCCCTCCTGAGCTGAGGCACCGTCTGCTGTTTTAGCTGCAGCTCATGTCAGACCAGTATTACTAGAACTTCCCTTTGTGTTGTTTTTGAATGGATAGAACTTTTTTTTTTTTTTTTAAATAAGTCTCTACATCCAGCGTGGGGCTTGAACTCATGACCCCGAGATCAGAACCTGCACGCTCCTCTGACTGAGCCCGCCGTGCCCTCAGCAGCTAATGCTCGTTGTCCCTCTCGTCTCACACTGAGCTCGTCTAGCTGGCCGGGCCCGGGCTCGGTGTGCTGCCCCTTCCTGGAATGAGTCTCTTGCCACGTGGAGTATCTGAAGTGTTTCTCCAGGGAAAGGTTGTGAACGAACACGTGCTCTAGTAGGTTCTTTTGGTTTTTTGCATAACAGGGAGGGAAGAGATGGAGTATGCTGGCTGGTCCTTCACTGCTGTGCGAATAATGTGTGCATGTCAGAAAAAGTTCAAAGTTCAAGCTCATGACAGCAGAGTGAAAATAGGGAGATGTCGTCTATCATTTCTCCTCCTGGAATCAAAGGAATGGACTTTCTCATATTTTTCTTAATCTTTGTGCATTAAAAAAAAGTGGGGGGCACCTGGGTAGCTCAGTTGGTTAAGCGACTGCCTTCGGCTCAGGTCATGGGCCTGGAGTCCCGGGATCGAGTCGCACATCGGGCTCCCAGCTCCGCGGGGAGTCTGCTTCTCCCTCTGACCTTTTCCTCGCTCATGTTCTCTCTCACTGTCTCTCTCTCAAATAAATAAATAATTTTTTTTTTAAAGTGGGGTTATAGTATTATGTATTTCCCCCTATTGAGCATTATGAAAAACTCCTTGAGAGCGGCGCCGTTCTTGTGGCATTTTAACTTCATATTCTCCGAACATTTTGGTGGTTTCAATTTTCCTTAGTATAGGAGACACTGAAATGAACTTTTTATCATTAAATCTTTTGTGTGCATATCTCTTTCCTGAAGCTAGAGTGAATGAGTGGATAGATAGAGACTTTTGAAAGTCCCATAAAGCTGCAGTAAAACCTTGTAGCAAGGTTGTATCCTTGTAAATGGAGAGTTCAAGGCCACTGTTGATGAGAATGTTGGCGTGTTGCGGGGGGCCTCCTCGCCCGGACCTCCATGTTTGGGAGGGAGCTGGGCCATCGGTGCAGACCGTCCAGCGCAAGGCTTGGTGTCTGCAGGGTTCTGGGAGCTCCCGAGGCCCGAGGCGGCCCAGCCACATGCGAGTCTGGAGTTTGATCTTGGGTTTTTAAAAATCTCACAGGAGCAGACGCAGTCGCCACGGGCCACTACGCCAGGACCTCATTGGAAGACGAGGAAGTCTTTGAGCAGAAGCACATTAGGAGACCAGAAGGGCTTTTCAGAAACCGCTTTGAAGTCAGGAACGGTAAGCGAAAGTGCCGGGTCAGACCGCAGGGGTGGGTGGACAGAGGGAGCTAGTGGAGTGTGGAGACAGGTTGTCGCCGTCCCTGTGTGGCCCGCACTAGCTGGCGGGTGTTGAAGAGTAAACGTCAGGAGGCGCCTCCCCGCAGAGCCTGCTTGGCACCTGCTTCTGTGATTTCTGACCCAGCCCTTACGCTCCGCCAGTGACTTGAAGGTTCGCAGGGTGTTTGAGGAAATACTTGTTCATGGTCGGAGCTCACAGGCCACGGCGCTTACCATGAGCTCTTGAGGGCTCGAGACCGGGGTGTGCGCACTTCTGCGGGACCCAGGCGCTGGGGCCTGACACCCGGGCCTGCTGGAGAGCGCGTGTGCCGAGTTGATGGATACGGAGCAGTGTGTCGGCATTAGAGGGAGCCGAGTGTCACCTTTCTAGAAAAATGCCCAGCCATCAGCAGGGCTGCTGCGGGCTTGTCCTGGTGCACATTTGTGTGTAGAAGAGAGGAATGCACGTCACTGTGAGGGGAGCTCAGAGCCCCGGCTGAGCAAGGAGTTTCCGTTGTGGGATTGCCGAGGGTTGGCCCGCCGAGCACCTGCCTCACCGCACCTGCCCCTTCCCCCCCAACCCCCGAGCGCAGCTGTGACGGGTGCGCGCTCCGCTTGGCCCCTCTGAGAGCAGAGGTGGAAGCGCTCGTCCCACTTCACAGGTGAGGAAACAGGCATGGAGTCATTTGACCGGGCCGCTTATGGCCGTCAAGCTGGAGCTCAGCTCCGTGCGGCCCAGCTCCGTAGTTGTTCTCTCTCTGCTACGCCAGGCCCCAGTCGAGCTCTGTCCTCCGTGTCACTGAGCCTGGTCGGAGGGCCACCCCGGCCATGTGGCCGTCTGCTGTGTTGCGGAGCCCCGAGGCTGCTGGCGGGTGCTTGGCCGGCCTGCTTTCGAACCCAGCCCCTTCCTCGCAGCAGGGGGGACTCACATCACCTTCCAGCTTGAACGTGGACAAGGGCAGGGCTTGCTTTTTGGGACAGTCTCCCTCTGCTGCCTGCGGGGTGCGGGACCCTTAGCCGCGCACTTGCCACCAGGGCCTCAGGTACAGACGCGGGGAGAGAGGACAGGTTCCCTCGGCCTCCCTTCCAGTTGCTTCCGAGGGCCGCGTCTCACAGCCCCCGGCACCCCGGTCCTGGGAAGCCCCTCCGTGTCGGGAAGAAGGCAGAGCGCTGCCACGGGGGCGCTCCGCAGCAGAAGTCACCAAGTAAATACAGATTGAAGGGTCCTGAGTGGCTAAAGGATTCATTTCCACACGGAATAGACGTGCTCGCTCACCGCCTAGAAACCGGTTTGCGCTCCAGAGCCATCTGGACCTTTACGTGAGGCCATGGGCCCTCGGAAGCTCCTCTGGTGGCACTGATGGGCGCTCCTGAGCAACGTCACGTGGGGCCGTGGCAAGGACGTGGCGCTGTCTTCGTTGTCAGTGCGCTCTCTAGGCACGGCGCTTTTCAGCTAATTCTTACTTAGTTGCTCTGGAGACCTGCACCGGGTCCCTGGGCAGCACGGCACGGGCCACGCACACGGGGCAGCGCAGAGCCCGCCTAGGCTCGTCGGCGCTCCTGGGCCCCGGCCGGGTGCCTGGTTAGGCTCACCGGTGCGGAGGGGGCGCGGCGCCGGCCTGACCGTGGACAAGCTATGAGGGTGTGTGACTGAAACCCCGGACCGTGTCCCTTCTATGGTTTAAGATCACCGGCCTTCTTTTAAAAAAAAAAAAAGACTTTGCGCCTGTCTTATTTGTTTATTTACTTTTTAAGATTTTATTTATTTGAGAGAGTGTGTGACAGAGATATTGAGAGAGCACGAGTGGGAGGAGAGGGAGAAGCAGGCTCCCCCCTGAGCAAGGAGCCCAATGTGGGGCTCGACCCCAGGGTGCTGGCATCATGATCTGAGCCGAAGGCAGACGCTTACTTAACCCACTGAGCCCCCTGGGCGCCCCAGATTTTGGGTCTGTTTTATGCTGACTCGGAGCTGTGAGGAGATGCCCATTGCTTCCAGTGTCCTGAGGCCCCCGTGTGCGCTGCTGACCGGTCTTCCTTTGGAAACAGAAAGTGGCCTTGGGCAGAGCCTGCCTCCCCGATGACTGGCTGTTTTCCATTTCTCAGCCGGTCGTGTTGCTCTGCGCGCAGGAAGGGCTGGACTAGGACTAAGGCCACGCCTGCCTGCTGTTGCACCTCTCCGACGATCTCAGCCTCAGTGTCCTCATCTGTAAAATGGGGGTCATGGACCCTCCCAAGGTTAAAGTGAGACTCACATTTGAGGCCGCGGGTGGAGAATGTTCCCTCCCCAGAGCCCGTGTCCCCCACATGACTGTGCGAGCTGACAGGCACACGTGCGTCGTATGGGCCCCAGTGCACATGTAGCACACCCTGGGGGTGCCGTGCGGCGGCCTGTCCTCTCGCTGCATCCGAGGAGTGTCGGAGCTCCGGTACTGAAAGCCCACATGCCGTTTCCCGTGGCTCGCTGAACTTGACATTGGGGAGCTTGTTGCTTACAATGGCGGCGGTCCTGGCAGGGGCCTGCGGGTGTGATGTGGCCCAGCGGTGGAGCCGGGCCTCCTTCTCTGACCCAGTGTCACGGGGCCAAGGTCAGTCACGCCTGTGCCGCGAGGCCTCAGGGCCAGAAGCGCTTCTCTGCCGGGGAGAGGAGCAGGGGGAGGCCGAGGAGGAGCAGCGCACAGATGTCCGCGTGACTCTGAATGAAACCCGCTTTTCGTGGAAACTCCTGACTGCGAAGGTGGGGGGCGTGGGGAGCGGCTGACCCCCCAGCCCGGAGTCCTCCGGGGGTCCCTCGTCCAGCTTTCTCATGCTCGGCTGCGTGTATCTTGGGCTCGTTTTCACGTCACCTCTTCAGAGCGGGTCTGTGCCGAGTTGGGTCTGTAAAGTTCCATGACCCGGGGAGGGAACGGGATTAAACTTTCCGATCACATAGACTTGTTCTTAACGGCACCTAAACTCGGGGTGAGAACTCGTCTCCCCTGAAGCACGGGATTGTCTGTCTTTCCTGGTGGTCTGCCTAGGAGTACTGCTTTCTGCCTCAACGGAGCAGGGAGGAGCTGGTAGGACGGGACTCGCGGCCAAGGACCGTTGTGTTCATTCCCGCACCGTGTTTTGTTCTTTACTCTTGGCAGTGGTTAAACTTCTTCAAGCAGCTGACAGCTTTAAAGACCAGACCTTCTTTCTCAGCCAGGTTTCCCAAGATGCCCTGAGGAGAACCCTCTTCCCTCTGGGGGGGCTAACGAAAGATTTTGTCAAGAAAATAGCTGCTGAGAATAGACTCCATCACGTGCTTCAGAAGAAGGAGGTACGACCAAGGGGGGTGTGCTCGCGGCCACGGTCTGCGGAGAAGCGGGGCCCCGTCTGGGCGTTTCCTCCCCAGGAGCCAATGTTAGGACAGAGCCCGGGTCACGCGTCCAGTAGGACACGCTGTTGACATTCCAGGAGCTGCTCAGACACGATTGCTCCCTCTGGGGTGAGCGGCTTTCACAGCGGCCCGGCTAGCTTGTTGGGGTGTCCTTGGCCCAGGCTGCCAGGGGAGGGCAGGGCTAAAGGACCGGGCCCTGAGACGCCCTGGCCAAGGCTCTGTCGCTGCCTGCACGCAAATCTGCCTTTTTCACACAGCCTAGCCCCTCCTTGTCGAGGGCCTTCCTGTCCTGGGTACTGTGCTGATGGCCCCTGAGGACAGGGTGAGAGCACATGGGTTCCTCACTCCTGCCTTCATGGAGCTCGCAGGAGGGGAAGACAGACATGAAACATACCACAGCAAAACTGGAAAATGTGTAGGAGGCACCAGTGGGCTCTAACTAGATTGGGCTAGAGCCAGAGACGGGCTCTGGGGAGTTAACATTTTATTTAACGTAAGGCCTCAGGATGAATAGGATTTAGTGTCCCAAAGACGGCTGGGGGAGAACAGCCCCAATAGTGGGAAGGGGGTGTGCAAAGGCCCTGAGGCAAGAAGAGCCTGGGCATTGGAACGACGGTGAGGCCAGCGTGGCGGGGGTCTGGTGCTACAGGATGGTCCCGGTGTGGTGGGGCCATGTCAGGGATTGGGTCACCTTTAGCTGAGGCTGCTGCTGCCCTTTTGTCTTCCTGGGAATGAGCATGACCTTTTTTATCAGCAAGTCATTGTCCCCAAGGGAGACATCTTTTCACGCGTGCATCCACCCATCATCTCTGTCCCTCCGTTCACTGGTTCGGGTTCTGGGTGTGGTTCTGTGGTGGGAGCTGGGGGGCCACATGTCCGGGAGACACAAGTAGAGAGCCGGTGAGAGAGCCGTGTGACAGGAGCGGCGCTGGAGCGCACCCTCCGCTTGTCTTCTGGGCTAGAGGAGATCTCCTTGAGGGAGACGCTCCTTCCTCTGACTCTCCTGCGCACGGGTCAGCTTCTGACCCAGCTGCTCTCCTTCCCAGGCTGAGCCCGGCTCCCGGCTTCCCCGCAGCTCGCGGATGGTGGTCCGAAGGGCTGGCCCCACTCCGGCTCTCTCTCCTGGGAGGACGTGGTGTGGCCTTGCTTACTCACCAGATCCCGGGTCGGGGGCCTGAAGCAGACCCTGGGAGGCTGAGACGCTCTGAAAGCCCTCAAGGTCCGTGCGAGGGCACGGCCGGCGTGTGCGGGTACTGGCCGAGGAGAGCCGGGCCCGCGGCCCGCTGCTGCCCCGGCACTGGCCTGTTCTCGTGCGGACACTGGCCTGCTCGCTCCCCTCACGCTCGGCTCCCCTTCCCTTCCAGAGCATGGGCATCTGTTTCGTCGGCAAAAGGAATTTTGAAAATTTCATTCTTCAGGTGAGTGTTCTGAGAGGCGAAAGAGCGGAGGCACGTTTCTGCTCTGGGCCTGCATCTGTGAGTAAGAACGTGCTTGTTTTTCAGTATTTACAGCCCCGGCCTGGTAAATTCATTTCTATAGAAGACAATAAAGTTCTGGGAACACACAAAGGTGAGACCCCACCTTGGGCTGCCTTTCGTCATAAACTCCCTGAGTCGTGGGGCAAGTTGCAGCTCTGGGAGGGTCCGACAAGAAGCCTGTAGTTCCTTCTGCATCCGCGCGGGAGTCCAGGAGGCCTGTGGGCGGGGGTCGCAGGTGGCTCGAGTGAGTGTGGCGGCCAGTGCTGTGCGTGGGCTCCGTGAGGCCTGGCAGCTAGTGAAGAGGGATGCCCTCCGATTCCGGAAGACCCGTGTTGCGTCTCTGTAGGTAAAAGTACCCTCTCACCGCAGGGGAAGAAAACATGAGAACACAGAGAGGTCCACCCTGATGAAAGCATGACTGACTTCACACTGAGCTTCCAGATCTAGGACGAGGATGGGACAGGATCAGAGGGTGTCCCCACAAGGCAGGGGTGTTGCGCTTGGGTGCAGACGTTCGGGGGGAGCACCGTGAACTTGCCCCGGGCTGGTGTGGGGAGGCTGCAGCAGACAGATCAGGCTCCAGCATTCACAGCGCAGTGGGAGGACAGAGAGTGGGTTGGTGAGTGGTGGGCCTGTGCCCCCGGGGCATCAGAGAGAAGCCTTCGGGGGCTGGAGACCAGGTAGGTCTTGACCCAGAATGTGTCTGACCTGCTGGGGGGACAAGGGCTGGTACTCAGACATGGACAGGCTCACTGCTGGCTCTTTGGAATCCCCCGACCCAGTTTGGGCAGATGGCTTCTCTTTCCCATTGGGGGAGCTGGACTTGGCTGTCCGGGACTCCTGGGGAGCCAGGCAGAGAAGCCCCGTGCATTCCTAAGACGGGAGGAGGGGACAGGCCTGCAGGGTGCTCCCTCCCAGCCGGTCTCCGGCAGGATGACATCCCCTCAGCTTGTCTCTTCTGTGCTAGTGCTGTCCCTCGGGGGGTGAGGGTCGGGGGCTGGCTATCCAGTCTTGTGATGTTTGTTGCAGGGTCGGGGTACCCAGAGAAGTGGGGGCAGCCCTGATGCCCCAGCCCCCCGTGCAGTTCATCCATCAGAGGGGTTCCTGGGGGCTCAGCAGGAGGGGACTTAGGGCTTCTGTGCACATTCCGGAGGACTGGTCCCTGCGGCCCCTGGTTTGGGTGGTCCAACAGCTGGCATGGCTCCTGGCAGGGCACGGGGTGCAGCCTGATACAGAGCTGAGGCTGTGGTGGATGAACACAGCTGCTCTGGACTACCTACCTCTCGGCGGCCCCCAGAGCCTCCCAACTGCTGCCCCTCCCCCCATGCTGTGCACCCCGTCAAGAGGGGGGTGATATGAAGGCGCTGGTGCCGGCTGTTGAGAAACCGTCTTTCTGTAGGTTGGTTCCTGTATACTTTGGGCCAGAGAGCCAAGATAGGCGGCTTACGGGAGCCCTGGTATGTGGTGGAGAAGGACAGCACCAAGGGCGATGTGTTTGTGGTGAGTCGGGCTGGCCTTTTAGACAGGTGACCGAGGTCCGTTTTTGGCGGAAGACCAGGCAGGCTGTGGTGTCCTACAGAGCAGCCGTGGCGGATGGACCATCCTTGCCTCCCTCTGTGTCCTCCTGGGACTGGCCCCCGAGTACCAGCAGGGCTTTGGGGAAGGTATTCATCAGGGTCTTACCGTGTGCCAGCCACTCTAGCAGGCACGTTAATGGCTGTGAACAGATCCTATTTTTCTGATTTTACGCAAGAGGCCGAAGGTCCCTCAGTGCTTAGGATAGGGCTGGCCCATGGCTGCGCAAGCTACTGCTGGACACACGGAAGCGGCCGAGCCGGGTCCAGAGACGTTTGTGGGCCACAGTGACTTGAACCCTGTCCCCAGGCTCTGGAGCAGGGCTTCCCAAAGAGGGTGAGTTGGCCCTGCTCCCTCCACCCAGGACACTCGGCAGTGTCCCTATGGTATCTGATGGGTGGAGGCCAAGGGGGGCCCCTGACATCCTACAGGAAAGCCCCCACCCTGAACAGATGATCCAGCCTCCCGTCTCAGCCGTACCGAGGTCGAGAGCCCTTGCCCTAGGAGAGCTGGGTGCTCGGGCACAGAGCTGGAGAAGCCTTAGACACAGGCAGAGCTTGCCTACGATTCTGGGCCATTTCCTTCCTCAGAGAGCCGTGGGTATCACAGCCTGAGCAGGGATTGTGGTTACACGTAAATTAAAGTGGTATTCGTGTAAAATTTCAGTGGTCTCTGTTGCGTTCTGAGAAACAAGGAGGGTCGTCACCCGGCATTTGTCCCCATGTGGGTATCCCTGCCTGGGGCTTGGGTCAGATGGCCTCAGTACAGCCCCGGGGAGCCGGCCCTGTGCCTTCTTTCCCCTGCCGCCTGGAGTTTGATGGGCTCCTGGGGTGACCGTTTGGAGACAAGCCAGCAGCGTGGCGGGCCCTGCCTCGGCAGGTGCGGCAGGACGTGAGGCTGGAACTGGCGGGTGCTGACCATGGTTTGCTGCTCGTCAAGTGTGACTGTGACAAGACCCTTTCCCTCCTATGCCTCAGTTTCCTCCTGTGCAGAATGGGATCCAGCAGCGTGGGGTGGTCCCACGCATTTCTGGGCGGACGCTGTAGTCAGCAGTCAGCATGGCGTTGGGGTCGCTACTGATGAAGCGCAGGCTTGGGGTGGGGGCCCCTCCGCTGAGGGCTCCCGTGTCCTGACCTGCGCGTTCCGCCCCACAGGCCCCCCGGACAGACCACCCGGCTCTGTACAGGGACCTGCTGCGGACCAACCGCGTGCACTGGATCGCGGAGGAGCCGCCGGCAGCCCTGGTCCGGGACAAGATGATGGAGTGCCACTTCCGGTTCCGCCACCAGATGGCGCTAGGTGACAGAGCCGGAGGGGCCCTGCGGAGGGGGCCCAGAGTCTGCGCGGTCCTTAGACTTGGGGCGGGAGCGTCCCCCACTGTTCAGGTTGCATAACGTATTCGGAACCCCCTCTTTGCCTGCGTTCCCTGGGAGCCCTGATGGGGAGGCACTGAGGCCTGCCTGGCCGCCCTCGTCCACCGTGCAGGACGTGTCCTGGAGGTGCTCGCGTGGCAGGCCAGGAAGCAGGTGGCACTGAGCCGCTCCGGCTGTGGCCCCCGCTGCCGATGCTCCTTCCACCCCTTGGGGGTGCGAGGCCTGGGGCTGGCCTCACGTGGAAAGGCCAGGGCCCCCTCCAAAGACCCCTCTTATTCACCCAGTGCCCTGTGTGCTGACCCTCAACCAAGACGGCACCGTGTGGGTGACAGCTGTGCGGGCCGTGCGGGCCCTGGCCCCAGGACAGGTGAGTGGGATGTGCCTGGCCCTGCGCCCGTGCTGCCCAGGGAGGTGGGGAGCCCGGATGGAAGGCAGGACCGGGCCTCACTCCACGTTCACGTGTGGCCAGAGCCGGGCCCTCGTGCACGAGATGGGCTTCAGCATGTGCTCAGGTGCGCCTTGCCGAGGCCCGTGTGGCCGGGGGGCTCTGGCCAGTGGGCTCTGTGCTCTGGAAGGACAGACCGCACTTCCTCCCCGCCGGAGTGCCCCGTTTACAGGGTGGGGGTGCTGAGCTGCTGGCTGGGTGCCTAGTGTGCCCCCACCCCACCCCCACCCCCCAGCCATACCAGTGATACCTGCCCCTGCTTGATGCTGGGAGGGCCCTGCTGCCCTGTCTGGCCCTGTCCTCCCCCACACCCGCAGCCCAGCAGCTGCAGACCCACGCTCCTGGCTGCTGTGGGCACCCGGCGTCGGGCCCCACGGAGCTCACACGGGCCTCTTTACTTCTTAGTTTGCCGTCTTCTATAAGGGGGAGGAGTGTCTGGGCAGCGGGAAAATCCTGCGCTTGGGGCCATCTGCCTACATACTCCAGAAGGGCAAGAGCAAGTCCAGAGTGGCCGTCGAGGGCCCCAGCGACGGCCCCAGCGACGGCCCAGGGCTGGGCCCCGTGCTCTGAAGGAGGCTGAGCGGCTGCTGCACACCCGGGAGCAGGCCCGGAGGAGTGGAGCCCATTGTGGAGCTGTCGGTGGGAGCATGGCTGAGCCTGCTGCCCCGGTCCTAGCAGGCTGGCCTCACAGTGCCGGGCGAGCCCCGGAAAGGCTTGTTCTGTCTTCCCCAAGTTGGTGCTCTGGCCGGAAGGACTTTCTGCCTAGTGGGTGGGTCCCAAGTACCCCGTGTATAGAGTTGCTCTTCTGGGCCCCAGGGGAGGTCTCCCACCCGCAAGCACACAGGCGGCCCGGCGAGGAGGCTGCAGGGACACGGGGACGGCACCCAATAAAGCGTGTGTCTGGGACAGAGTCTGATGGGTCTCCTGAGGGGTGCGGGCCTCTGGCGCACACCTCCGGCAGAGTGACACGAGCCCTGCTCCCCCTGTTCCCGCCGCACCCTCCTTCCCTGGGAGGGCCAACAGTGGTGGGACCTGAGCTGACCCTCGGCCTTGCGAGGGGGTGCAGCCGCGAGGAGGCCGTCCCTCCCCCTGCCGAGCGCCTGGCGCCTTGGCTGCAGTCACATGGCAGCCAGGAGGACCAAGGGCCTTCATCCCAGCGAGGAGGGGGTTGGTGGCAGGCGGTGTCCGTTCCCTGCGGCAGGGCGGCGTACACACGACAGACGTCTGTGTCTCACGGAGGCGGGGACCGGTGGTTGGCTGAGGTTCCCCTGTGGTTCGCCAATGGCTGACTTCGCACCATGGCCCCAGTGGCCAGGAGGATGAGGGGTCTCCCTGGGGCCGCCCTCATGGCCCAGTGCCTCCCAAAGGCCTAGTGTCGTCACGCCTGGACACTGGGGATTTAGGGATTCCCCATGGCGCTGGGAGAGGGCACAGCCCACAGCATGGGGTGCGTGCGCGCTTGTGTTGGCAGTGAGAGAGCAGCAGGCCTGGGAGCGGCTTGGCAGAGAAGTGGGAAGATGTTCAGAGCCCACTGCACTCTGTGCGGGGCAGCCTGTGGCCCCAGGGGCGTTTTGCCCCCGCGGATTCCCGGAGTGACCCCTGCTGGCTCTGCACTGTCAGGGTTCCGCCGGGCCGGGTGGTCCTGCGGGTGGGAGGTGGGCAGATGCCTGGGATCTGACTCGTTCTCTTCTCCGTGCGTGCGGGGCATGTGGGGGCGGGTGTCCGTGAGTCCCCTGCCTCCAGCTTGCCTGCCCTGACAGTGGGGGCTGGGCACCAGGGACAGAGCTTGGGCTCCCTTCTCTCACTAGCCTCACACCCGACACATTCTTGGTGCCTCGAGCCAGGCTTCTGTGGGGGCCAGAAGTGTGGTTTCCTGTCTTCTGTGGACAGAAGGTTCTAGACCAGAGGTAGCGTAGCCCTCCAGGCACAGTGCTGCTAGAGGAGCACCTGGGAAGGTTGTCCCACAGCTGCCACCCTTCAGGGCCTCTGGTGGTGACAGGTCTAACTGGGGTCTTGAGTGCCGGCCATCCAGCACCCTCCCCCCACCCCCCACCTGCCGCCCACAGAGGCAGGTCCCAGATCGCAGACCACAAGGGAGGAGCCCAGAGTGGGGTGATGGTCACCTTGGACCCAGAATGCTACAGTGGGAGGAGGGCTTCCTTCTGAAGAGGAGGGACGTGGCAGGTGTTTTTGAGCAGAAAATCCCTCTGGCGTCTAAGGTGCAGGTGGGAGGGAATGGGCGACCAGGTGGGCTGTGGGGTTGGGTATTGTGGCAATCGGGGATGAGGGTTAGATTTAGGAAGTCCTGTGTAGCGGCTCAGGAGGAGGGGTGGACGCCTAAGACCTTTGTCCGCAGCATGTCAGGACGCAGTGTGCTTGGGAGCAGAGCACCCTCCCATGCAGCCAGGAAGGGAGGCCCAGGCCTGGGACCCTGCTTGGCACCTGCCTCAGCTCTGGTGTGGTGGCTGCAGCCTGCCGGAGAGAACAGCCTTCCTGGCGGCCCGTCCCTGCCAGCCTGGGGCAAAGGGAACGAGGAGGGATGGGTCCCACCATTGTTTAGTGGGACCCTGTGTGGGGCCAATAGGCCACACCATTGGGTTGGGGGGCTTTAAGGCCAGGCTGCTGTGCGGGGCTGAGAGCTCAGTGCCAGCACCCCCCCCCAGAGGCAGGATGAACGCAGTCACCCTCGGTGACGGTCAGGATGCTGGGGCTGTGCCCAGAGCAAAGCCTCTCCCCTCCACACCATTGTGACAGCGGGAGCTGCTGCCTCGGTGCCTTCTCCCCATCCAGCAGGAGGCCTTCGGGGCGGGAAGGAGCAGGGAGCGGGCCCGAGGCTCCAGGGTCGGGCTTTCCAGCCATCCACATGGCAGCTGAGCCCAATAAAGGAGGCCCTGAGAGGCAAGGGGCTCGGGCCTGCCCCCACTCCCCACTTGCTCATTGTGCTGGGTGGCCGTTGAGGCAGGGACGGAAACCCCGGTCACGTTCCACCAGCTCACAGGACAGCGTGGAGCCTCCCAAGCCTCGGCGTTCCCGATCCGCGGCCCTGGTGGCTGGGCCTCTTGTCCTGCTGGGAAGGCCGAGCCTGGGCAGCGGCAGCAGGAACAGGAGGGAGGAAGGGCAGCCAGGTGGAAGTCTCTCGGGCACAGGCAGGTGTTGGTGGGGGAAGACTGCCCGTCCTCCCAGCCCAGTGCCAGGCTTCCAGCTGGCCCAGCGGCCGCTCTGGCCACCCAGGCCTCCCCTCTGGCGGGGCCCATGGCAGCCTTCCAGCCGGTGGCGCCACCCTCCCTCTGTTGGACACAGCCTGCCCTCTGCATGCCCCTGAGGCCACCACCCAAGTGCAGGAGGCCACTTTGTGCGTTGCGTCAGCTGTCCGCCAGGGGGCACCGTGGGGCCAGGTTCATGAGCTGAGACTGCACTGCCCTGCGCTGGCGGGCCCAGGACTGTGCCCCACCCCCCGCACCGCCCACCCCGGGTGACCTTCAGGAGACCCTGGGCAGGCTGAAGGGGGTGGAGCTGAGAGGTAGGACATGTGTCCCCCTGTTCCCGTTTCCCAGATGGGCACCCCAGTTGCCAGGCTCCACCACTGCCCCAGGTTCCCAGACCCTGAGGGAAGGAGGGCCCAGGGCCGGTGCTGTACACACAGCAGGAGAGAGTTGAAGCTCTCAGGGAACCCCAGACAGGGCCTGCTCATCCCGACTGCGTTAGGGGGATGGACAGAAAGTTCCAGTATGGTTCCTTTCCCCCAGGGCCTGTCCCCCGCATCCGGTCCACAGTCCCCGGCAGGCTCAGGGAGTGGGGCCGGGGAAGAGCAGCACAGCAGAAGCACAAATTCAAAAATCTTAATTTATTGCAGACTCTTCTCTGGTGTTGTAATTCCAGTGTTCCAATATTAATAAATAGACATTTGTTAAAAAAAAATCTCCAGTGTCTCATTTCTCATAAAGTCTTAAGTCACAAAAATAGGTTTACAGTTTTTCCTGTCTTAATACAACGGACAGTTGTTTTTTGGTAACAATTCTGATCAGATTGAAAACTGCAGCTCAAGGGGCAGGACCCAGCTGTGGAAGAGTGAGGACTCGGTGGGGGGGTCCGACTCGAGGGTGTTCACTGTTTGTACTTAGGAAAAGGTCTGGTCGGGTAAACATCCGAAGACACCCTTCTGCCTTCAAAACGCTGCTCGCCCGCTAAGGCACATTTGTAATTCATCCCGCGTGTGGACCCTGCGGTGTCGTGTCACTCCTGTGTGAGGTGTGTGGCCTGAGAACCGCCCCGCACCTGCTGTTCCCGGTGTGGTAGTGAACAGTGCTCACGTTTCCATCAACACGGAGCAGAAATCTTCGCTTTGACTTGATTCTCTTCCTGTTTTACGGTTTCTCGTATGTGGAGGCAGCTGTGCTAACCGTGCATTTGGGCGCCTGACTGGAAGAACAAAGGCAACACAAGAAGGAGACGTGTCTGAGTCATTCTGGGCCCCGTTCCACAGCCCCTGCGGCCACGCCGTGCCAAGTGCCCACTGTGGGACAGGCACAGCCGCTCCTCGTACGAGCTTCCAAAAAACAGCCCGGTAACCATGGCTGTGGCTGTGGCTTTGTCCCTCTGCACAATTGGCCATTTGAAGCAAAATGAAGTAATTGGTTGGGTTCTGGGGGCGGGGCCCCAGCCCGCCCAGGGATCCTCGGCATCTCAAAGAACTGGACAATTTGGCAGGAAGGAATGTGACATCCTGGAAGGCCCCACACCTCCATCTAAATCGGGAACATGTGAGCACTGTAAGATCCACCGGGAACAGGAGCAGAGGGACAAAAGACATCCCCCATGACGGATGAGGGCCAGGGAGACGCCGCAGGCTTAGCATGAGTCTGGGGTGGGGGCGGCGAGGGAAGGGCCAGAGCTAGGTCACCTCTGTTTCTCCACCACCAACCTCGGGGGGCTCCCTCCGTCCTGCCCCATCGTAGGCTGCTGGGAGATCCGTGGGACGGATCGTCGTAGCCTGTCGTAGGCTGCCCTGTCTCTGATCCATCACAGTTGGGGCGGCTGGGAGCGGAGGACACACGTCCCAGAAATGCGCCATGAATTCAGGAGGTCGCTCGCGATGCCCACACAATCCCCGCGTTCTGGCCGAGCACAGGGGCAGGAGCCTCTGTTCGAGGACGGCCTCTCCCCAACGCACTTCCCACTCTGATCTACCGGGACACCAGTTGCATCAACGCATGCCAGGTTCAAGTACAACTGTGCAATCTTCCTTGTATAAAAAAAATAGTGAGAGATCGTCCCACGGATCTCCCAGTATCAACAGTACAAATGCAAAATATACACAGGCTTTCCACCTTCTCAGAGTCCCGTACAAATATATAGAGAAGTATCTACACATTTTCAACAAAAGACAGTAGTTTGCTTCAAGACGAGGAATGTCTCTGCAAAGGGCCATCAAGGCCACCAACCAGGGGTCTGTACTGCAGGGGGCGCGCACATGGCCAGTGGGCCTCCGTCTTCCGCCTACGCCTGGCACCCCCGAACCCCAGCAAGCCAGGCCTGGCAGCTTCCGGCCCTGCCAGCTCTCGTGCTGGGCCCATTCCTGGCCTGCCGGTGCACGGCTCTGCCTCTGTCCGCAGTCGGGATCCAGATGAGCCAGCCCAGG